CTTCTTCTTCCTCCAAATCATACAATATATATTGCTCTTCATTGCTTTCTTCATCCTCCAAAAGAGTTAACAGTTCCTTAAGGATGTTTTCTTCAATTACGTTATTATCTTCGTTAACAACTTTCTTCTCTTCCCCTTCTTCCGTGACACCCTTCTCTTCAACTTTTTGTTCCTTTTCTTCCTCTTCATTGACAACCTTCTCTTCCTGCTCCTCTTCCGCAATATCCTTCTCTTCATCTACCACTTCCTCTTCACCCTCTTCCTCCTCATCGCCACTCTTCTCTTCCTCTTCCAAAGTATCAATCACCTTCCTTTCATTTTCTTCCAATATAATTATTTGCTCTTCTTCATCCTCTCCTCCAGTATTAACCAATTCCTCATCTTCATCAGCCTCTTCTTCAAACCAAACAATTTTTCTTTTATTCCTCTTCTCTTCACAAATTTTATTTTCCTCCTTCTTCTCTTCCAAAATACTCTTTTTTTCTTCTTTTTTCCTCTCTTCACAATTTTTGCTTTCATCTTTGAAAATTTCCCTTCTACCTTCCTTTTCTTCTTCCACCTTTCTCTTCTCTTCATTAATTTGAATTAAAATGTCATCCAAATGTAAATCAAGCTGAATTTCATTACTTTTAAATGAAGGTTCTTCTCTTTGGAAGTTCTTCTCTTCCGTAATTTGCAATCTTTTCCCTCTGGTTATTCTTGTTGTTATTACAGCCTTTTTATTGCTACCAGCATCAGTGAATGTTCTCTTTAATAAACTAAAAAAAATTTTTTGGTTAAGTGCAATTGTGTTTGGTTTCAAGCGAAAATAAGGGGGAATGTTCGAACTAGTGTTATTCACGCTACCGTATTACGGCGGTATTTTTCAGTAATACCGCCGTATTTTTACCGAAATACCGATACCGAATACGGTACCGAACAATTTTAAAAAATCGGTATTTTTTCGGTAGTGGTATTTTACCGAAAATACCGATACCGAAAAACGCGTTTGAATAACACTAGTTCGAACCCGTTGAGGCTAAAATTATTTTTTTTCTTAAATAAAATTAATTTGAAAACAAATTCCTCGTTTTTAAACATAATTTTGCTGTAAAAAATTTTTTTTGGTTAAGTGCAATCGTGTTAGGCTTCCACAGAAAATAGACGAGGGTTCGAACCCGTTCAAGGGCAAAACAATTTTTCTTAATAAAATTGCGTAAAAAACAAATTTTTTTCTTATTAAAAATCAACCAGATAAACTATCAAAAAACCTTACTTAAAACGATTATGTACAGCTTGTTCCCTTTGAATTTGTGGTCTTCTCCAAACAGGTAAATTTCCATTTCTTGTTAATTTAGAAAATGATTCGGGAGAAGTATTACAAGCTTTTTGAATTGATAATGGAGGTGTATTTGCCCATTTTGTTGGAGTTAAAGATGATGTTCGAAGACTTCTACGGTTTAACATTTCGATCAAGTCTAAAAAGAAAAAAATTTTTCTATTTTCAAAAAAACTTTTTTTAGGAAGATTATTAATGATAATAACGAAAAAATATTTTTAAAATCGCTAGGGAAGCTATTCCAACTAAAAACATAAAAATCGAGTTCGTTAGTTAAGTGGATTTGCGCTAGTCTCCTAGTAGAAATCGGGGAAGGTTCGAACCCGCTCGGGGGTAAAACATTTTTCTTATGAAAAATTAAATTAAAACATTTTTCATGTTCAAATAAAAATATTTTCTTTCAAAAAAATTTTTTAAACAAACATTTTTGTGCTTCTCTTCTTTCTTCAATTGTTGGAACAGCAGAAAAATTTGTTAGCGCGCTAATTCCTCTATGGCTAAAATATGATGAGATGAGAGGTTCATTATTGTTGTTATTTCCTTTTTCTGCCGTTGCTTTAGCTCTAAATGTTCGATAATCAGTATCTCTTAATTTATATTTATTTTTTTCTTCTTCATTTTTTTCTTCAGAATTTGGATGTTTTTCTTCTTCTTCCTCCTCAATATTTGGATTTTGACGAAATGAAAATAATCCTGTTCCGGCCCTTAAATAAAATTTTTTTTAAATACCTTCAGAAAATTATAAAAAAAAACCTTTCACAAGTAGAACATTCACAACGCAAATTTCCGTCTCCAAAAAAATTTGCTCCATAATAACAAGTTATTTCATCTCCAGTTTGGATATCACGCAAAACTGTGAAAATAAATTTTTTAAAATTTTTTGTCTAGGAATATTATTTATGAAAATTTTTCCCACAATTTTGTTGATTCTAATTCACATTAAAAATAGAGAAAAAATCCAAAAAAAATTTTTGTAAGATTTTTTCAAATTGTTACTAGTAAAGATTTAGGTGCTTGTTCCATAAGACACTTTTTCGGCCTTATTGACTTCACGAATAGCAAACAAACGTAATTAAGAAGTCAACAAAGTCCGTAGAAAATCCAAAGGAAAATGTCCGAAAAAAATTTTTACGTAAGGATTAATTTTAATATTTTTAAAGCAAGGTGCCCTTCCTCGTTGGTTACACAACTACCTAATCTTACTAATTCCCTCCCAAATTAAAAAAAACCTCAAAAATTTTTTCAAAAAAAAACCTTTAATAATCGCTGTATGTTCTTGCGGGCCAGGAATAAATTTACAATTAGCATTACAATCATGATTAATATAAGCTGCGGGTCCAAGCCAAAGCTGCGCTCTTTTCTTTCTAACACTAAACATTACAGAAAAATCATTAATTCCTCTTTGCAATATTTTTGCTTCTTCTTGTTTTGACAATTCTCCAATAACTCCAATTAAATTTTCTATTATACTCCCTTGTTTCCAAAATTTTGTTGCAACTGTGAAAAAAAATAATTTTAAAAAAATTTTTTAGAATTTGCGGACAAATTTTGCGGACAAATTCCAAAATCGTTTATTGAAGGAAAACAAATATAACCTCACAGAATCAATGGTCCTGGAGGTTCAGAAAATAAATTCAAAAAAATTACGGACCCAACACGAAATAGGTAATTACAATTCTATTTTTAGAAATGGCGGGACACTGACTCGAATATATTTTTTTGAAATAGGACAGGAGTCCATAAGGCCCTGACTATAAAATCCAAAGGAAAGTGAGGGAGAAATGCCATTTATTGCCAGTCAAGTTGTGAATCACATAAGTGTTGATACTCGTTCTCAAGGGCTCCGGGCTGCGAACTAGTGGGGGTAGTAAAAATTAGAGATTGAGCTGGGCCTGGATCAAGGCTTGGGTTTTTTCTTACCCAGAGTCCAGGCCTAGGCATTTTTTGACCTTCCTGGGTTTCTCCTGGGCTTGGGTTCTTCCTAAACTAGAGGCCCAGGATCCGGCCCATTCAATAAATCAAATCCAGGCCCAGGCTTTTCAAAAATCTCAATTCTAGTAGAAATCCATAACTATTCTCTAATTCATAAAAAGGACCTCTATTTAACCTAACTTCAATAAAAAATCAAAATAAAAAACCTAATTTTCCTCCCATTCTATTTTCTCCACTATATCGAAAACATTGTGTTATAGTAAATCCAGAATGAGGATAAAACATCAACAGAAACCGCAATATCTTAAAATTTAAAAAATTAAATCAAAAAAAAATTTTCAAAAAAATTTACGTGTCCCTCAAAATTTTCTTTTTCAAAAGCCGTTTTTGAATTTAAAAATTCTTTAACAATATTTAATGAAGAAATTGAATTTAAAGTTGTATCAAAATCTGTATTATGTACAAATTCACAGAGTAAATTAATTAGATTACGCCTTTCATATTCTGGTAAAGGTTTATGTCTAAAAATGAGGGAATTATTTAAATAGGGGGCAGAACAAATTAAAAAGTTTGGAAATAAAAACGTTGGAAGAATAGAGGAAGAAAGACTCACAGAAAATAGAACTTTGAGTCCGAATCCGTTTAATCTGCTTCTTGGGGAGAAAAGCCGAAGGCCGGGATCGATTTCAACAAAATCTTTTGTAATTGGGGTTAAACTTCGGCTGACGCCCACTCATTTTCGTTCTATTTTCTCATTCTTATGGAAAATATTCTAATGGTAAGGGAAAACAAACAAAGGGGGCAAGCCGAATTTAAATGTTTCAGCCCCAAACACAAAAGATTTTGGTGAAATCGATCTAGACATTTCACAACCAAGACAACCTCTACCCCCCAAAACTTATCGAAAAGCTTGAAGACTTGAAAAACTTTTTTTCTCAATTTTAAAAATTTTTTCGATAAAGACAATAAAAAAGATTTCAAAAAATAGAACCTTATATCCATTTTATGAGTTACAAATCCCATAACAGAATCCACAAACAAAGCAGTACACATATCTTGAAATAAAAAGAGAAATTAATTTAAAATTTAAAAATAAACAAAAAAACCGTCATTTTCACAAAGTTCTTTTATCGACATTTGATGACATCTTGTAGGTTTTAACAACATTTATTAATTATAAAATTTAAAAGAAATTTCGAAAAAGTATCTAAAATTTAGAAAAAAAATTTTTTTAAGCAGCCAGACACTGAATTATTGGCAATGAAACAGTTTGGGGATCACTAGAGTCCCACCAATAGCGCCAACCAGCCATCAATTATTCGACTGTAACTTTATTTGTCCTCCTCCAATTTTAATAAATTTTGTATCATTCAAAAGCTCTCAATAAGCGCTCTCTTTTTTCCTACTGCATGGATCAAGTCCGATCACTCCATAAAAAGTTACAGCACAATAAGTGTAATTATTTGGCCTTTTCACATTTATCAGCTCATAGCTTTTAAATGAGTGATCAGACTAGATTCATCAAATTGGAAAAAAGATAGCACAAATCAAGGGCTTTAAAATGATATCAGATTTATTCAGATTGGATCAATACTAAAAAAGTTATAGCCGATCAAATCTTGCTAGCTCATACACAGACACTGAAATTGCAGCAATGAAACGTCCATTTTTTAAATAAAAAAGGGACGTTTTAGTGCCTCAAATTCAGTGGCTGGGTAATTTTGAAAAATTTAAAATTTTTAAGCAAAAAATGGCTTCAATTAATTTATCAGAAAATTTACTTGTAATTTGTTCCAGTCAACATATTAATTTATTTGAACGACAAGATTCTTTGTTTGATTATTCTTTTTTGTCATCAATTGATATTACAACTATAGAAGTTAATTTGAAAGGAAATAGAAAGAAGAAAACTGATCAAGATAAGGTTTACTTTTTTTATTTTTATGGGGTTTTGATTATTCGGTAAAAGTTCCGGTAATTGTCCGTAATTACCGAAAAAAATTTTTTTCCGAAAAAAAGTCCGCAAAAAAAGTCTGCAAAAATAATCCGCAAGAAAAGTCCGCAAGAAAAAGTCCGCAAAATTTGTCCGCAAAATAAGTCCGCAAGTAAAAGTCCGCAAAAAGTGTCTGCAAATATTGTCCGCAAATTAAATCCGCAAAAAATGTCCGCAAAATTAATTAAATTATTTTAATAATTTTTTAGATTCTCTGTTCCTCCCTTTCCAACAATTCAAAATATTTAGCTGTTGGCACAACCTCCAAATTACTTTTAATATTTAATTTGAATGAAAATAAAGAATTATCCCAACCATTTTATTGTGAATTAATTAAAGCGCCAACAAAGGTTTTTTTGACTTTTATTTTTAAATTTAAACGATTTTTTAGATTTGTTTTTTAAATAATGAAAGTGTGTTGGTATCCAATAGATTTGGATCTCTGTTCAAATTTGAAATTTCTGGTAATTTTTTTTATTTTTTATTTACTTTTTTTTATTTCTTTTGTCCGCAAATGATGTCCGCAATTAAAAAAAAATTTTTTTTTCGAATTTTCGAAATCAGGGTGGGTTCAAAACAATTTTCAGCAATTTAGAATTTATTTTTGTAATAGTCTTCTTTTCGCTTCAAAAATTAATTTCGATCCCACGATTCATTTAACCCTTTATATATTTTTACCTTTTTGAATTTTTTTTAAATTTTTATAGAATCCAAAATATCTGAAGGAGTTGAATTGCTTGGACATTTTTCTATGGTTTTTAAAATATATTTTACAAATTTTTAAAATTTCCCAGTTGTTGGATTTTTGTATTTCTCCAAATGGCAAATTTGTTCTGACAGCAGATAGAGACGAAAAAAGTTTTTTTTTATTTTTAAAATTTAATTAAAATATTTTTTTTAGTCCGTATTTCTCGCTTTCCTCAAACTTATGTTATTGAAGGATTTTGTGGGTATTTATTTAATTTATATTTTTTTATTATTTTTTTGTCCGCAAATATTGTCCGCAATTTTCATTTTTTTTTTAATTTTGGCATTTTTTTTGATTTCTGACCATTTTGAGCATTTTGAAAAAATTTTACATTTTGAAATTTTTCCGATTTCTGACCATTTTGAAATATTGAAATTTTTAAATTGAAAAATTTTTTTCAAGGTTTTGGACATTCCTCATTTGTTAAATCAATTGCTTTTATTGACGATAATAAATTAATTAGTGGAGGTTTTTTTTTATTTTTAATTAAATTTAAATTAATTTATTTATAGGGGGTGATTCTATAATTTATTTATGGGATTTAAATTTATTTAAATGTATTTCTACAAGCTGTAAAGTTTCTGAGACGGCAATTAGAAAAGTTGGAGTTGTTGAAATGTTTGAGGTTTTTTTGAAAAAATTTTTAAAAATGTTAAAATGGTAAATTTTTCGAAATGTTGACATTTTGACCATTTTGAGCATTTTTGTGAAAAAAATTGTAATTAAAATTTTTTTAAATAATTTCTTTTAATTTCAAGGAAGAAATGTCAAAAGAAGGAATTATTTGTTTACCAGACCAAAGTAATTCAATTTTATTATTTTCTTTAAATGACCAACAACAAATAACAAAAATGTGTTCCTTTAATTGTTCAAATGAAAATGAATATATTTTTGATTTTGTTGTGGATGTGGATAGAAAAATAGTTTTATGTGTTGGAAGGTTTGTTTTTTAAAAATTTTTTGAAAAACTTTTGAAAAAATTTTTTCCGGAATTTTTAACAAAATTGTTAGCCACTAGGACAAAATGATCAGAGCTCACAATATTATTTTTTCTGGGGTTCTAGACAAGTCCTCGTAAAAAAATAATCTTTCAATAAAAAGATGCTCTTATCTTTTTAATACCAGAAAAATATAAATTTGACCATTTTGGTCTCTTTTCCGATTTTTAATTTTTTTTTTGGAATTTTTCTTTAAAAAAACTTTTTTAATTTAAAAAATATTTTCTGCGATTTTTTCTCTAAGAAATTCAAAAAAATATTTAAAAATTTAATTCTTTTTTATTTAAAGACAAGGAGTTTATTATTTCCAACCAACTACTATTAATTTGCCCTCTACAGGACTAACAGAACTAAAATTTCTACAATTTTCTCCACCTTTAAACAATTATTTATTAAATGAATTAAATTTGAGTGAAGACCAATTACCTTTAAATTCATTATATAAAATTCCTTTAAATGGAAAAAATTTGGAAGATTATAAAAATAGAAAAGAAGAAAAATTGGGGGAGAAAAAGAAGAAAATGTTGAAGGAAGAAGAAGAGAATTGAGAGAAAAAAATTATTTTTTGTTGTGTTTTTGGTAAAAAAATTTTTTTTTATTTATTAAATAAATTTTAAAAAAGTCTAAAATAATTCCCAAATATTTTTAAAATTATTTTTAACAATTTAAATCAAAAACAAAAATGACGGGCTCAGCCGGTGATCGAAACCGGGACCTCTCGCACCCAAAGCGAGAATCATACCACTAGACCACTGAGCCTACATTGTGGATAATGATAAAATTCCTTTTAAATCCCATGTAAATAACTTAAAGCTGTTGAGAGTTGCTGGGAGAGATTAATTCTGCCCAGTTTTAGTTCAATTTCAATTCCAATTTCTATTAAAATATTAGAACAAAAAATTTTGAGGATTCATAAAAATTCCTTTTATTTAAGTCACAAATCCAACTAAAAATAAGACAAGTTTACCCACAAACAAACACCATACAAATAAACAAAATTGAGAAGGGAAGGGTTGAGAAGGTAATATTTACACTCGAAAAGGGTAAAAGTATAGGAGACTTATAATATTTAGGGATAAGGGTGAATATTAAAATTAGAGTATCACACAAAATTTATTTTTCTATACACTTCTTCCTCGTCGACGTTCCCATCTTCCTTCTTTTTCGCCCATTCAAGTCCCGTCTCGTTTAAACGTATTATCGTAGTCCTCTGAAGCTTTGTCGAAATATCCTGTCTTGTTTTGGGTGTCACCAATAGTCGGCCTCTCTTCAGTAACCTCAGTCGTTGTCTTTACAGTCCCCCCAGTGCCAGTAATTCCCGGAGTTCCAAAATAATCTTCTAATGGTTGTTCTTCCTCTTCTTCCTTCTTACGGCACACCAAGAGCCAGACAAGACAGCCAATGATGATGAGAATGCTGAAAATTGAGAAAAAAATTTTTTTGAAAATTTTTTTTTTGAAAAACTCACATCATAAAGACGATGACCGTGATAATGACGATAACGACCACACGTGAGCTTTTTGCAGCTGGGGAAGGTTCTGTTTCTTCTTCTGTTCCTTCCTCTGATGGTGTTGTTTTTCTCCTTTTAGGGGGTTTGCTGTCAACTTGTGAAGTCCTTGTCGATGTCGGTGGCGGCTTTGATGTTGGTATCGGCGGTGTTGTCGGTTCGATTGGTTTTGGTGTTGTCGTCGGCTTTTCTTCAGGAACAAGCAATTTGAACTTTTCGGTACTCTTAAAAGGATTGAAAAAGGATCAAGTCAATGTCTAGCTCAACAATTCAATCTCACCAATTTAATGAACAAATAATCACAGTTTGGCCCATCCAGCATCTCGTCCTCAAGTCTTCTACTGTATATATTACAGCGCTTGTTATTACTCGTCTTGATATCCCCACCACTCCGTGCCGCTTTCTGTGGCAGCAAGTAGAAGGTGAAGAGATATTTGAATTGCTTGTCTGTGTGACTCTCATCGGTGATCTCCCAATGTTTGATGGTTCTGAGATGCTTTTTGCTGAAGCAGAATGGGTCTCCCTGATTATCGTCCAAACAATAATCCCCAATCTTTGTTGACCATTCCTTATTGTCGTTGTCGATGTTGAGAGTAAAACCAAAATTGTCTGCAAACCCCATATTAATTTTGAAGGTTTCCTTGTAACTTCGCTTGTCGTAAACTTTTTTGCCGTCCAAAGTGCTAAACAATATATTAGGCTCGTCAACTGAAATTTGGGGGGAAAATAAATTTTTGGCATGAGGGGAAATGAGAGTTCTCACCTAGCGTCAACATAGGCATTATATATTCTCTGTCCCTGCCAAATCCCACCATAAAGTCAGCGACCTTCAAGCAGTAGCCGTTATTATCCAAACACTGCCTTTCATGCCCGCAGTCACCGCTTTCCCCTCTTCGAGCTTGATTCTTGCCATCCTTGAGCTTCTCAAATTGACCTCCTCCAAGGCTGTACGTGAACGGCAACCTGAACAAAAATAAAAGCGTGCTGCTTAGCGTTAACTGAATTTCACTCACATATTGTGATAGCCTTTCAAGCACTTATTATTAGAGAATTTGACGCCAATATACACTTTAAGCTCTGGCTTCTCCTCGGCGACGAGATCCAAGACGCATCCTTCTTTAGCCGCTCCGTCCTTCTTGTACAAGATCTTTCTGTAATAAAAAATCAAAATTTGGTTAAGCTTCAAGTAAGCGTTTAAGACTCACATCCATTCTTTGCCATCCCACTCCACATCATGACACGCCTCTGGCAGATTCTTCAATGAAGACAAGTCCGCTCCCTCTTTGACCACCACCATGTTACTGCCCAGCTTTGAGATCTTCCCATTCCCGTCCAATTCATGCTTGCCGGCACCGACCTTTGCGCATTGAACCAAGCCTCCAAATAAAAGAAGAGCAGCAACGAACAGAAGAGAACACGAGAACAGCGGGGAGCAGCGACGTAGTTTTGCCATACTGAACATGTTTTGGAACTTTTGAAGTGAAGAGAAGAAAAAATGTTGTTTTAGTTGGAGTTGAAGAAAGAGGATAAGGATTGGTTGTAAATCAAAGTACTTTTATAGTAAGGGTGACCGGTACCGGCCGATCAGGTTTATCTCTCGGGACTTTTCTGAATCCTGACTTTCGCTAAGAGACAGATACTAAGACGTACAGATACTGAGACATACATAGTACCTTTATCTATTTTCTCCAATACCATAAGCTCTCAAATCCTCATGGCCTTCTCAAGTTCCAAAACTTTTTTTCATGTAGCGCTCTTTCACTATATCCTTTCATAAGTTTTCAAATTCAAAAGATTTTAAACAATACCCTCAAAAATATTATAATCTATTTAAAAATATAAAAATTAACAACAACAACAACAAATTATTTTATAAAAATGAGCCAAATTTCAAATTTGTGTTTTACACAAAAAAGATCAAAAAAGTCTTTTTTTTCAACTGATAAAATGAGAACAATTTGGCAGCGCGTTTTCTTTGATATTTTATCAAAGAAAAAAAAGTTTGGTTAATCGAAAAAATTTTTTCGTTTTTTTTCTCCTCTTGAGTTCTGAAAATATTCTCAAAGTGATTAACCAGCTTTACAAAAAACAAAACAATATATGAGGAATACAAAAGATAATATTATTTGCGAGAATGTCCGAATAAAAATGTGCTCATTTAAAAAATATAAAGGAATTTTTTTAAAAAATTTTTGTCAGTCACAAAAAATTTTTTTTCTAATTTTTAAATTAAAAAAATTTTTTATGACCAACAAATAAAGAATAAAAAAACAACAACAAAAACCGGGTTAAAAAAACAAAAATATATAAATAGACCAAAAACAAAAATTGAAGAAAAGGAGGAGGCATGTAGAAAAGGAATTAATAAAAATTAATAACAACAACAAAACAAACTCGTTTCTATTTTAAAACAAAAAAAATTCTGTTTTTTTTTGTCCTCGAATATATCTAAATTCCTAATTGGAGCCTTCAAGATGTCGAATGGCCAATACAAGAGACTTAAAAATTAAAAATTTTATTTTTAATATTTTTAAAATGTCGTCAGTAGAACCCCGGCACTAAAAGGGTCGGTCAGTTTTTTTAAGTAAAAATTGAATCGAGCGGAGTTCTGTCTATATCAACACAGAAAGAATCGACCAAAAACTAAGCGTTGTTAACAGAATCCGACCGAAATCGGGATTGATGTCGAAAAAAACCAAAGTAAAAATCGAAAAAAATTGTTTAGCAGAGTTCCAGTTGTCTATCTCAAACTAGACCGAAAAATATTCAGATTTCTTATTACTCAAAAAAATTTTTATGTAGAGACCAAAACCCTTCTAAATAAATTTTCATCCCCTAAATCTCCCCAAAAAAATTAAAAATAAAACCTGAAGATTTCTTTGAGAAATAGAAAGTGATGCATTCAATCCTCCTCCTCCTCCTCCACCACTACTATTAGGACTTGTAACATCTAATAAATTATTTGTTATTCCTGTTTGTTGATCATTTTTGATATTTGGAGAAATTAATAATTGTGGAGAATTGTTGGGAATTTGTTGACATTTTTGCTGCTCCAAAATTAAATGAGAAGTTGGATGATTGTAAGTATTCTCATTAATTCCTTTTCCAGCAGCAACAACAGCTTTAATTAATTGCTGTGCAGCAACAGCAGCATTAGAAACCCCGGCTGTTGAGGCGATAGAAAAAAGTGGAGAAGAGAGAATGTTGGTCATTCTAGGGAAAATAAAAATTTTTAGTAATTTTTAAAAATCAAAAAAAAAATTTTAAGAGGAAGAAAACATTTTTAAAATGTTATTCTTAAACTTAAGCTGAAGAAAAAAGAGAAAATCCCCAAATGGCTCCGAACCTTTGACCTCCGCCCCTTAGAAACTCAACCGTAACCCAATACGCCACATCAAACCTCATCTGAATTTAATAAATTTATCCTCAAGTACTTAAAAATTAATGCTCCATTAAACAAACTAACCAACGAATTACCACAAATCAATTTTTAAAATTAAAATAAAAAAATTTATTTTCAACCAACCTAACAGCATCATTTTGAGGAGAAACATTTCCCATACCAACACAATTATTATTATTAGCATTATTAATCACCGGCTGTTGACAAAATAAATTACTAGTAGAAATTGTTCCTGTCGAAGGGGGAGTCCTTTCATTTAAATTATTTTCTGATGCTTTTCCTTTTGATTCAAACAATTCTTTTTCGTATTTCTTCAAATAAAAATTTTATTTTTAATTAAAAAATTAGTTAAAAAACCATTCTTAAATAAGTCTCATTTTGTAATAAAATACGCAATTCTTCTATTGTTTTGATACATTCATCTAATGTTGGCGCTCCATTTTGTTCTAGAAAAAATTTTTTTTAAATATTTTTTCGAAAAGGTCTTCCGAAACAAATTCTAGATCTCGTCTAGGATTCCCAAGAAAGTACACACTTCCCACAAATGGTCGCGAAAATTATTTCTAAGACGCATACCCTTAAGAGACAATCACAGGCGTACTTTCTAAATTAAAAATAAAAGAAAAATTTTTCCACGAGAAAGTTCCCGCTACAAATTCAGACACTGGTCTAGGATTCCCAATTAACAATAAGTATATGAGTTTCAAAAATGGACGCAAAACTTATTTTTAGGACGCAAACTTTTGAATCAATTCCCAAGGGACTCACCTACTAAACAGAGATCTCTCAATCAATCTCTCAATAAAAAATTAAAAAAACCTCCAAAATTCATTTTTCGCCTCTTTGCAGCACTCTCAGCATTCTCTTCCAATAATTTATCTCGTTCAAGTAACAAATTTTGGATAAAATCTGCCGTGGCCGCCAAAATAGAAGCTTTTGACATTTTGTCCCCATCTTTGGAAGGTAAAAGTTGTCGTAATGATTGAAACCCAGCATTTATTGACTAAAAATCCAAATTAATATTTTTATCATTTTATCTTTTAGAAAACCTGCATTCTCCTTCTCTCATTACAATTTGCAATTTGGCGTCGAATACGTCGATCGTCATGACTTCCACTGTCAAGAGAGGCCGTTTTTTGTTGATTTTCGTCAGATTCATATTCAGGTAATCCAGTGGATTTGCTTAAATTTTTAGAAAATTGAATGAAGTGAATACACTGTATTTAAAAAATTTTCACAATTCACTTTCCAGGGTTGGGGAAATTTCTTATAATTTTTCAGCGAAGAAAATCCAAGTTTAATAACCCCAACAAGGAAGCCACCCATTATCGGAGTGACCATAATAAAAGTCACTTTGCGTCTTACGACCAAAAATACCAAAAATAACACTAGAAAACAAACAGTAAGTGTTAAGGTTGGTCGTAAAACGCTCCTAATGAGAAAGGTTAATGCTCCCAAAATATTGTGAGATTATGTACTGAAATAATTCACAATTCCAATTTTAATCATTATATTAAGCGGAGGAACAATTTTTTTAAAAATAAAAAAAAAACCTTCTTGGAGAAGTTAACCAATCATGATTATGCACATCTTCATTTTTCCTAATTTCCTCATTTAACAAGTGTTCTTCAAATTTTTGTGTTTGTGTTGTCAAATCATTATCCATATAATCATCTGTTTTGACCATTTTAAAATTGAGCAGATTTTAATTTTAAAAAATATGTAATTTTTTTCTCTCTTGAAAAAAAATAAATTAAAGAAATTAACAGAAAAAAAAGAAAATGTTGAAAAAAAAGAACAAAGGTTAAGGAGAAAATGAAGAAAAGAAATTATAGAAATTTACTAAAGAGAAAGATTAAAAAAATGATAAAAGTTAAAATTAAGTAACATGGATAGTCCAAACCGCTGTCTAAAAAATTTCGATTGCAGACAGCTTATTACCCAACAAAAAAAAATTCATTAGCCTGTCAACATTATGGATACATGTAGAAAAAAAAGAAAGGAGAACAAAACGCAAGATTTGATCAGTTTATTTAGGTAGCGTGTAGAACAGGGCTGGGCGAAATCTAAAAATAAAAAGCGAAACTTTTCGCTCCAAAAAATGCGAGAATGCGAAAGATGCGAAACGCGAAAGTGCGAAATAAGCCCAGCCCTGGTGTAGAATGCAAAATAGAAATTGAAGGGAAAGCTGCTGAAGGTGGGTAAAAATTTTTTGAAAGCTCAGAAAGCTCGGAAAGCTTAAGACCGGAAACTGGCCGTAGATAACAAAAGATGACTAAATTAATTATAAAAGAAGTTGCAAAAACCCCCCAATAATTGTTAAAATGCAAAATAAAAAATTAAAAAGAAAATGTGTAAATTGAAAAAAGAAATACCCCCATTCCTATAATAATCTAACCAAAAATAAATAGGGGGAAAATTACAAAGAATCGCTGTGCTGTAAATTAACCAGTCGGCTGTTTTTTCTTTGCTTTTTGGCCGGATGATAGTCCAAGAGACATTTTAAAGAAAAGAGGGGAAAGTTAGTCAGCACACACATAAAACACATCATACGACGTCCAAACTGCAAAAGAAAAATTGAAGGGAAAGCTGCCATAAAATTGAGAAAAGCGGCTGGCAACAACTAAATAATAGCTTAACTGACGGGTTGTCTGACTTGTTGTAGTACAAAGAATGTTTGGTGCAGACAGAGAAAAGAAAGAAAAAAGTGTGGTTAGTAAAGGTCAGACAGACAAAATGTTAAAATGTTTTTTAGAAAGAAGAAATGTCTAAATGTCGAAAATAAAAATATCTAAAAAGGGAAAAATAACAGAATGCCAAAAATGTAAAATGTCATAGAGGGTAAATTTGGACAAAACGTCGAGGGAAAACGAAGAAATAGGAAAAGCCGACTTTTTATTTTGTGGGAGAAAAAGGACAAAAGGTCTAAAACAAAAATGTCCACACGGGTAAAATTGGACAAAATGTAGCAGAGAAAATGAATAAAAAATAATTTAAAAGTCAAAGACGTCTTAACAGACACTTAACATTTATCAACAAATATCATCCTTTAAAGAAAGGACGAACACATTAGCTGTCTTTTAACCCTTTTTAGGGAGAGACATTTAAACGACCAAAAACACTTTCTCTCTTTTGTAATAAAAAATATACATATGTGAATACACGGGGTTTGCAACTGATGCGGGGTAATAAAGAAGAAAAGTGTTCAAGTAAAAAGAAGAAAAACTGTCCGTCACATTGCGCTACGGCTGTAAAAATTTTTATTCTTTTCGATATTGCATTTTTGCTCTCTCAAGTGTGTTCTGTTTCTTTTTATTTTCTTGCCCAGAACACAACAGGAAAAGTAACTAAACTAAAAAAAGGTGTAGTATTACAATAAAACCCACAAGAAATCTTTGTTGATAAAACTAATAAAATACCCAAATAAGAAAATTCATTTTTCAGGTGTTTAATAAATACAACACATACACATTCCCCCCTCTCTTTTTTTAGTTAAATTTTTTGGCTGACAAACCCACAAAAAATTTTTTTTAATTTTTTGGCTGTAAAAGAAAGTAATCATCTGAAAAATGTATTATGATCAAAACTGGGTAACACCCTAAAGATCACCTACCAGAAAATAAACACAACGCCAAAGAAAAGAGAAAAAGCCTGGGGCCTAGAAGGGAAAAAAGACAGGGTGACCAAAAGAAAAGGTGATCTTCTGGGGTTGCTTTAGAGATGAGAACACAGCTGAGAAACGCGTTGTAACAAGCAAGTAAAAAAATTTATAAAAATATTTTATGTAAAATATTTTTTTGTAAATAAGAATGTGTTGAAAAATTTTTTTGGAAGAAAGATTAAAAATCAAAAAAGGTGCTAAAATTATTTTTTTTTCTTCTGCAAAATTTTTTTATTTATTTTAGTCGCCCTTGAAAGACATAAGAGGAAAAAAATATTTTTTTAAATACTAGGGTGGCCTTTTCTATCAGCTGTGTTATTTTTTTTAAAGTAAAGGACAGGTGGTAAAAAATAAAAAAAAATAAATATAATCTGTTGAGTCTTTGATCAAAAAAAAATTTTTATTCTTTCAGCAGCTGTTAAATAGGCTCTGTTAGTTTTATTTTACTTTTGGCTGTAGTGTAGTGTACCGGTGGTAAAAGTTCGGGACGTGACATATGTCATTCGATTCGACTCGACGAGCTGAGTCGAACGGTACCACTCCCCATTTTAGGAAATAATTCTGGACCGAGTTATAGGTCCCGGAATATCGAAAAACCAAAGGGGGGAGTAAGCTCGATTTTGGGGTGAAAAATTCGAATATGCAAATTATACCTCATTCGAAAGAGCTCCTCGAGCTGAGTCGAATGACACCGAAATCAATAAAATCCGACTTGATTTGACAAAATTATGACCGTTTGTTTTAGCTCCTTACCTATGGCATCTGTGGAGATTTTTGCTGCTACGGAGGCCCCAAATACGTCCAGAGCAAGGGAGATAGGAATAGGTTTATGTTACAAGCCCAGACCCAGCGCCCGTAGACTCCCCGCGAGGCGCGTGCCGCAAGACCCCGCGCGAAGCGCGGGGTCTTGCACAAGCGCCTCGCCGACGACCCATAGGTTTATGTTGGTAGTTTTTCTATCGTAACTTTGTCAAAACTTGTGCAATCAAGATGGTTTTGGTGTCATTCGATTCAGCTCGACGAGCTCTCTCGAATGAGCTAACATTTGTAGAATCGAATTTTTGACCCCAAAATCCCCCCTATGGTTTTTGACCATTTCGAGCCCTATATCTCGACTCAAACTTGTTCAATCAAGCTGATTTTGGTGTCATTCGACTCAGCTCGAGGAGCTCTTTCGAATGAGGTATAATTTGCATATTCGAATTTTTCACCCCAAAATCGAGCTTACTCCCCCCTATGGTTTTTCGATTTTCAGGGACCTATAACTCGGTCCAGAATCATTTCCTAAAATAGGGAGTGGTACCGTTCGACTCAGCTCGTCGAGACGAATCGAATGACATATGTCACGTCCCGAACTTTTACCACCGGTACACTACACTATATCCTTACTTTTTTTAAAGATGCTTCCGAATCAGGAGTGAGCGCAAAAAAACATCTAATCCAAGGACAACAATTGAAGAAATCTGGCTCCTTGGCCTTCCTAAATTCTTAAAAAAATTTTTCGTACGGCACGTTGCTTGTGCTCGTACCAGGTACGAGTATGAATTCTGGGACGAATGTCAAAACACTTCTTATTTCTGAAAATTCTCTAATTTTCCTAAATTTTTTTATTTACCTATAATATTTACAACAAACAACAAAAATAAATGGGTGAGGGCCAACTCCCCAACTTCCAAAACACCGTTCAGACACCCCGACCGACAAGCCACCGTCTTACCAAAACACCGTCCATACCAAAACACCGTCTAAAGAAAAAATTTCGCATTTCCAGCGGGTTGGGGATTAGCTTGACGTGAGGCATGTTGTTTGTTTGTTACATCGGGTGATGTTGTCCAGACACTGAGGGAAGTTTGTTCTTTACCAAAACACCGTCCATAGAAAAATAGGATAAACTTCTGCGTTGTTCAACGGGGGATATCTTAAATCTTCGGTTCCTGAAAATAGAGGGAGATTATTCCAAAAAGACTGTTCTTTTTTCTCACAAGTTTAGCCTCAATTTTTTCTATGGACGGTGTTTTGGTAAAGAACAAACTACCCTCAGTGTCTGGACAACATCACCCGATGTAACAAACAAACAACATGCCTCACGTCAAGCTAATCCCCAACCCACTGGAAATGCGAAATTTTTCCTTTGGACGGTGCTATGGTAAAGACAGTATTTTGGTCGAACGGTATTTTGGTCGAACGGTGACTTGTCGGACGGCGACTTTTCGGTCTGTCGGGTCGATGAGTTAGCCCGACACGAAATATTCACAGATTGAACAAAACAAGATTATTTACATATTGTCATCAAGAAAATTCATCTTTTTTCTCACTTCTAATTTTTTTACTTCTTTTGTTGTTTATAGTCTATAGTAGTAGTAGTAGATGATTAGAACTTTTCTTTAAAAAATAAAATTTATTTTAATTCAAAAAAAATTTTGTTTTACAAAAACTAACCATTAGAACTTGACTTTTGGAAAAACGGCCAAAGGATTTTGTTGAAGTTGCCTGACCTTTTCCTCGTTCTTGTTCTGCTTGTACATGTAGAGAAGAACACTGTTTGCAATATGGACCGACAACAGAAAAGCAGAGGAAACCAGAACAAACCAAAAAAGGAAACTAGAACCTGTAGTAGGTTCACGTCTATTGTAAGGAGCCATGTTGTTGAGAAAAGATTAGAAAATTGTGGACAAATTTGTCGAGATTAAATTTTAAAGTTCTTTTATACTACGGTGCTCCTCCCTAACCTCACCCTAAATTTTCATTTTTCTCTTTTTTGTCTCTCCCTCATTTTATAGTAGAATTTATTCGGTATTTTTCGCAGAATTTCTGGAACACTTATAGTATAGAAAAATGAATTGAAATCTTGGTTTTGTAAAAGTTGGTAATAGAGTTGAGCGGGATCGACCACCTGCGTTGTGTTTTTCCGATTGTCTCATGCGCCCACCCCTGTTCCAAATTTTTATTATTTTCTTTTTTACTCTTTTTTGATTTTGGTGACCATGTTAACTTTAAATTTTTTAGTAAAAGAAAGATAGAAAGGGAATTGTTTAGAAAATAGCCGGAAACGTCGGTCGTGTATTTTTCGACATCGAAAAAAGAACGTAAAAAATAGAGTCAAAAACTCGGGTTAAATCATCGACGCTCTATATTTAAAATTAGAGCTCGGACGGCAACGTACTATGACGGTATTATTCGGTATTCATATTAGGACAGTAATTAACCTAAAAAATATCAAACCAAAAAATTTCAATAATTTTTTTTATTTTTAAGAAATTTCGCATTTGAACTCGAAATTCTTAAAACAATCTATTTTTTTTAAATTTTTATCCAAAATAAATATAATTACCAAAAATAGCTTGGGATAAAAAAGTCCAACGGGAATGAAAAAAGATATACTACTATATTATATACAGTCGTGGAAAAAAGTATGGAAGCGCTAGAAAATTTTTTCTTAATTCTTAATTTTTCATTCAAAAAATACGTTCTATATATCAATCGAAAGCTCTATTCGTATCTCAGTTGACATGTTTCTGCATTTTTCATGAAAATGAAAATTGGCCGAGATAATCCGGATCTACCGGATATACCAAATCCCATTTTTTCGGAAAAATTTTTCGGAAGAAATTTAACAAACCCATTTGATAAAGCATATTTTTCTGAGTATTTTCCACAAAACCGCTTAGAAATATCTTTTTCCGGAACAGAGATATGATTTTTTGAAAATCGTATTTTTCCCTTAAAAATCGAATTTTTTGCAAAAATAGACGAAAAATGCAATTTTCAAAAAATCATATCTCTGGACCAGAAAAAGATATTTCTAAGCGGTTTTCTGGAAAATACTCAGAAAAATATGCTTTATCAAATGGGTTTGTTAAATTTCTTCCGAAAAATTTTTCCGAAAAAATGGGATTTGGTATATCCGGTAGATCCGGATTATCTCGGCCAATTTTCATTTTCATGAAAAATGCAGAAACACGTCAACTGAGATACGAATAGAGCTTTCGATTGGTATATAGAACGTATTTTTTGAATAAAAAATTAAGAATTTAAAAAACTTTTTCTAGCGCTTCCATACTTTTTTCCACGACTGTAAATGTAGTTTTGGTATGCTTTTTTCATTAATTGTTAACAATATCAAAGAAAAATAACAATTAAAACATATTAGTGTCATAATTAAAGTCTTGATATAAAAAATTTAGGGTTTAATCAGTTTGAAGTTGTGATATTTTCGGATAGGTTCTCGGGTTAGTTTAGGATATATAATTCTTAATTTTAGTTTGTTGTGTTGAATATTATCCACAATTTTGGTTTCGCTTTTTTAATTTTAAGGGTCTTGCTTTTACATTAATGCTCCTTGCAGTGGCAAGGAGGACTCATTGGTAATCCAGCCTTTTTATCAGATTTATATTTTTTACCATAAGTATATCTAAAATTAAAGAGTAAAAATATTACAAATTTGAAGAATTACCGATAAAACCCAATAAGTTTAAAATAAATAATAAGATATACATATAAATGAATTCCGGAGAGTTTAAATAAATTTGATTCGGGGAAAATAAAATTTAATTTAGAGTATTGATTTTCTTAAAGCAATTTCTTTCATTAATGGAGTAATTATCCATCGCGTGCCAAAAAAGAACATTGTACCCATAGAAATTGAAATAGGCAAGGCAGGCAGAGCTTTGTCGAACAAAGCAAGAATTGGTTCATCCCGCTCCTGTGCCGTTTCCATCAATATTTTCAATGGTCGTTTAGGACACAAAACAGCAACCAAATCCCAAATCGAAAGCAAAGCCAAAATGGAACCATTCCGGCAAAATTTTGATGAACATTAATGACATTAAAACAGACACAGCAACCAAATAAAACTTAAAAAAAAAAAGAATTTTTGAATAAAAATTCTTAAAAACCTGCTGCAGAAGTAAAGGTCCAATCCAATGGATACAGACCAAACCAAGAACACACCCTTTTTATTATTAAATTATTTATACTTTTAACCCTCGTTCTTGAATACCCTCAAAAATTAAATTAAACATTGTTGGAGGCCGTTCTTCCGTTCTCCAACAATGTTTAATTTAATTTTTGAGGGTATTCAAGAACGAGGGTTAAAAGTATAAATAATTTAATAATAAAAAGGGTGTGTTCTTGGTTTGGTCTGTATCCATTGGATTGGACCTTTACTTCTGCAGCAGGTTTTTAAGAATTTTTATTCAAAAATTCTTTTTTTTTTAAGTTTTATTTGGTTGCTGTGTCTGTTTTAATGTCATTAATGTTCATCAAAATTTTGCCGGAATGGTTCCATTTTGGCTTTGCTTTCGATTTGGGATTTGGTTGCTGTTTTGTGTCCTAAAGGACCATTGAAAATATTGATGGAAACGGCACAGGAGCGGGATGAACCAATTCTTGCTTTGTTCGACAAAGCTCTGCCTGCCTTGCCTATTTCAATTTCTATGGGTACAATGTTCTTTTTTGGCACGCGATGGATAATTACTCCATTAATGAAAGAAATTGCTTTAAGAAAATCAATACTCTAAATTAAATTTTATTTTCCCCGAATCAAATTTATTTAAACTCTCCGGAATTCATTTATATGTATATCTTATTATTTATTTTAAACTTATTGGGTTTTATCGGTAATTCTTCAAATTTGTAATATTTTTACTCTTTAATTTTAGATATACTTATGGTAAAAAATATAAATCTGATAAAAAGGCTGGATTACCAATGAGTCATCCTTGCCACTGCAAGGAGCATTAATGTAAAAGCAAGACCCTTAAAATTAAAAAAGCGAAACCAAAATTGTGGATAATATTCAACACAACAAACTAAAATCAAGAATTATTTATCCTAAACTAACCCGAGAATCTATCCAAAAAATATCACAACTTTAAACTTACCAAACCCCTAAAATTTTTTTATCAAAACTTTAATTATGACACTAATACATATGTTTGGGATAGAAAATTTAGGCAGAATTTCCACTTGTAAAAATTTTCGAAATTAGACCTGATTATTTTAGGTTCCCCCACCCACCCACCCTCTTTTAGATTGCAGAAATAAAAAATAATTAAAAAAGCATACCGAACATAAATTCCAGAAAAAATTTTTTTAAAACAATATTAAATCACAAAATTTTTTACAATTGTTGTGTTGAATTTCCATTCCACATAGCTTCAGAATCGGAATGATCATCTGCATCTTCTTTAAAACGTCGTATATTTCCATCCTAAAAATATTAATATTAAAAAATTTATTATTTAAAATATAATTTTGGACAAAAAATGGAAAAAATATTTTTGGAGAGGGCCAAAACACGATAAGTCTAACAAAAAAATATGAGTCTAATCTGACCCTAATTTTTATTAAAAATAAGAGAAAAGCTTTCAAAAAAGTTTAAAAAAATTGAATCGGGACAGAAGACAGGAACCTAAAGTTCTATTCGAAAACATAAAACCCCAGTTCCTACAAAAAATTCCATTCAACAATTAAAAAATCGCTCGAAACCAAAAAGGTTTTTAAGGCTATTCTAATAAAATTTCAAAAAAAATTAAAAACCTTTACAGTCGATTCTCCTTTATCATTTTTCTTTTTGGAAGAATCTTTGTTGTCATCATTTTTGTCATTATTTTCTCTCAAAGTATTTATTGTTCCTCCTTGATTTGTTCTTCCTCCATTATTCCAAAAAGAATTTAAAAATCGCCATATTGCCGAGAATGGAAGAAAAAAGAATCCAATAAGCATTTCAAAATATCCATATGTTGGGATTATTGATCCACCTCCACGATTATTTTCATTCCCATCCTTTGACTAAAAATTTTTTTTAAAAATTTTGGTCTATACAAAAGGGTTTTTTGACTTTTAAATTTTCCAGAAATGTTTAGGGCAAAATACAGAACCATTAATAACCGAAAAAAAAAGAAATATTTCTTTAAAAATCCAAAAAACCTCCCCCAAATATTTTACCTTTTTTGCAGTTAAATAAATATACATATATATTGAGCAAGCTTTTCACTTGGAACAATTTTTAACAGAAAAAAAATTCTTAGAAAATTATCATATTATCCAAAAACAAATAAAATAATTGCAATAATTTTGTTGAGTGTATAAGGTGTGTGTTTATTTTTATTTTAACAAAAAAAAGTCAAAAAAAATCTAAAAAAATTTTTTAATCAAAATAAACAAACACACTTACCAAAAAATGAATAAATGGAACTCCGAAACTTGTGGACCGAAACATCAATCTAGTTGAATTAGAAAAAAAGTCTAATTTAATTAAAAAGGATTGCAGAAATGGCACGGGTTAATGAAATACTCGAATTAAAGGTAAGTCCTCAAAATTTTCTCGGGGTTCAGATTTCGAGTCGAAAAAGTACAGGTTTCGGGTAACCCACCACATCCCTTTTATTCATAATATAAGTCCACAAGTTTCGTTCAGGAAATTTCTTATTCAAAAAATAAAATAAAAATCATTCATATTTCCTCTCAATGATGATGCATCATTTTTATATATTATATAATTTAATATGAGCACGTGTGTGTATATCAAAGCATGGATGAGAAACTTATTTAGATAAAATCCTAGGAGAGGAGGGAATTAAATTTAAAAAATTAAAAAATTGTTCAAAGTGAATGTTTGCTATTTGGTAAAAGTAAACGAGTCATTTTAGGTTCACAAAATGTCACAAAACCCCCTCTTTACCAACTAAATTTTCAAAAAAAAATTTAAAAAAAAACTAACCGAAACGACTAGTAAAACAGCGGAAGGAGTAAGACCTAACTCCTGAAAAAAAATTTTAAAATAGAACCTAGATAAAAAAATACCAATAACGATTTATTCATATCAGTCAACTTCTTACGAGGATAAGTTTGCATCAGAAAAAAACTTGTAGGCTTGCGAGCATCCTAAAAAAGATTTCTTTTAAATTTTAATTAAACGAGAGATAGGAAAATTTCAGTCATCCAAAAAAAAAACAAAAAAGAATAATGAAAATCATTTGGTCAATCAAAAACAGAAACTTGTCAACAAATTTTAATAATCCACAAGATATGCAGCAGAGATGGGGCGGGTTAATCGGAAACAGATATCCAAACTTTCTCTGAAAGAAAACCCCCGACCCAAACCCCAATCTAATCTTTTCATAATCCAACCCAGTACTATAGAAATATTAAGATATTCAAAACCCTGTTCCAGGTTCAAAACAAAACAACAAAAACTATATTTTACAGTCCAAAAATACTTCAATCTTCTAAAGATTTTTTTCTTAAAATTTAATTAAAACCTCATTAACAGCATCATAAACAACTTGAAGAGGTTCCTTAGACGGGAAGACTTTAATTAAAGTTTGACCATCTGGGAAACGGCACTGAATGCGGCATTCATCACTTAAAAATATTTTTTAAGAATTATTTTTTAAAAAATTAAAAAACCTATTAACAGGTTTATTCATTTCCACAGCCTCCACTTTTTTTTCTGCCTTTTTAACATTTCCTTCTTCTCCTCCAGCAGTTCCATTTTTGGAAGCAGCCGCAGCAGCACGTTCTTCTTTATCCAATTTAATTTGATCTCTTAATCGTTGCAATGCTTGAGCATCTTCCGCTTTTTGACGACGACGCTCTTCTGCTGCTTCTTTCAATTCTCTTTCCCTTTGTTTTTCACGAAGTTCAGCCATAGCTTTACCTTTAAATTTTTGAAATTTTCTAAGGAAAAAAAAGGAAAGAAAAACCATCCATTCGACGTTCCATTTCTTTTTTATGTTTTTCCTCCTCTTCTTTTTTAGCATCCGATTTTTTCTTCTCGTCAAGCAATTTGCGATAACTAAAAAAAAATTTTTTTTGGTAAAACCAGGAAAACTCAATTAACTCTCTTGGTCCGCAATTCGCACCAAACTTTTGGTAGAAAACGACAGATCCCCATGGAAAAAAATATATTTAAAAAAAAGGCAAAAATTTGATGTTATTGTCTTTAACCCGAAATCTGGTTTTATCGGAACCTATAGTAAAAAATTAAACGGTCGCTAAAACCCCTAGAAAGATGAATCATCCAAAGAAATCCTCTACAAACCCATTGATAAAACATATTTAAGAAATTACTATTCCAATTTCTCCTGACTGGTTGTCGTATCAGCAGAAGCTCCTGCATCTCCGGGAGCAGCCTCCCCTTTCCCTTCAACAGCAGTTTCTTCCTTTTTATCCTCAATTCGATCCGCTACTTTGTCTTTAGGAATGTCATCTTTCTTCATTTCACCAATTTGTTCTTTAAATAACTAAAATAAAAATGTTGGAACAACTCCAGGAAGTTACAAAATATACCAAAACAGCCTTCTTAAATTCAACCAACAATTTGTCTAAAGTAACGCCCGACAAGCCTGTAATTACCTGAAAAGAAAACTTTCAGAAGGGAATTTTCGTATCAGGTTTTGGACGTTCCGTGTTTTTGAATCCCTCATTTTGCCTCTCACACGGAATTTGAACCTAGTGCCTGCCTTTCTATTTACTCCCCAATTCCCCCAAAATCAATCTTTTTTGAGTTCATAGGTGTTAAACACAGGCCTGTAGCCAGGAGGTAGGGGGAATTTTTTCCAAGGTAAATCATTGCCCCCCCCCCCCCCCCCGAAAAAATCCTAGCGAAAAAATCCTTTCTCAGAAAAACAAATTAAAAAAAGAAACCTCCAAAGGTTGAGCATTCATCCCCAAAATATAACAAACTGGAACAGTAAGCGTAGGAAAGAATTGTGCAAATTGTTTAGCATTTTCAGATTCCTTAACCATACGAATAGCAACATAAGGAATACTTTCAAAAACAGAAATGTCCAAAGAGTTTAAAAGGTCATCGAGTTTTGAGGAGTTGTCATCTAGAATTTTTAAAAAGAAATTTAAAATTAAGGGAACTCTTGGGTTTGTATCTCCCTCAATTTATGTTTCTTCTCCTTTCTTCTTCATTTCTTCAAAAAAGTAAGCACACAACACGTGTCAAAGTTAACCAACGTTGTGTTACCATCTTTTTGAGATTAGCCCCAATGCAAACGTAGGGTGTTTACCAGTACTTATATTTACCAAAGGTGTATCCAGGGGGTCGGTTTCGGGGAGGGGGCCAACATGGAAATAGAGCTCAACTCATCCATAGTTAAACATTAGGAATGTCACGGGGTTAAAAAACGTCGGGTCTTCAAAATTCTCTTCGAATAGAGCTTCGGTTGAAGAAAGTCCGGTTTCTAACGAACCCGACCCGTCCCTAGTACAATACCGGGCCATGGTTCCAAAAGACAAAGCTACGTACTTAGCGCAATAATTCTTCGACGGTATGTTACTTATAGTTAGATCAATGTGCGCTTTTATGGGGAAATGAGAATGTTAATGGCCGGGAGATAACCCCAAGAACACCAAATTAAGAAAAGTAAACCATTTTCTGCATAAACATAAACAATCAAAATTCCTTTCTTCTGTTGATATTCAGTCAAAGCATCGTCAACTGTTCCATTAAACCATTCCATTATTGTGTTGTAGATAAATAAATTAAATATATTTAGAAAGCTAAAAATAAAAATAAGAAAATTTTGGGTAAACCAAAGCTTTATGGTTCCAATTTTGCTTCTTAAAGCATTTTTTCCCTCAACTAACCTAACGAAGCTGGTGACTCTTGTAAAGAAAATAAGTTATTATTTGCGAAAATAATCTATTCATTATTAATCTCTGACATTGAATGTGAGAAATAAAATGAAATTAAGGAAGTCTGACCATTTCTTACATATAAAGGAAAATACTTGAAATAGAAAAAATGAAGGGCCTAAAACTCGGTTTACCCGGAAATTTTGAAAAGACAAACAAAAATTTAATTCAACATATAAAAACATTTTTTAATAAGCACGGAATAAACTAATTAGATCTTAAACGCTAAATCAACGTTTTTCAAAAGATCATCATTTTATTAAAAAAATTTTAGTTAGGGACGTTAGAGTCTCAAAAGTTAACATAAGCCGGGATAAGGACGTTTCAGTATCGCCGCTTCAGTATAAAAGCCATATTTTGGGGCATAACTCGAGTAATTTTCACATCATTCAAAAGGTTTCGAGCTGCGGCATTTTTTAGAGCTTTCGATTGATATAATAACCATTCAAATATTTTGAGAATCAAAAAAAAGTCATAGTCCAAAATATGCCCCAGATACTGAATCGTCCCCCACAGCCTGGGACATTTGAGTACCAGACTATCTCGCACTGAACTTAAAAAATCGTCTTGTCCCAGGCCTTATTACCTAAATTGTTGTTTCTACCCAAACTGTAAAAAATAAGCGGATCAGAGATGGGCGGGTTGAGAAAAAAGTCAAGTCGAGTTGGGCTTCAGTACTGAACTTTAAAAAATCCTCGGTCTCGAGCTGCAGCAACTTTTTTAAAGCCGACTTCAGATAGGATTTTCAAAATTCTCTTCTAGTCGGGATTTCAGGTCGAAAAAACCCCCGCAACTTCCGACCCAACCCTAATACAGATTAAAAAAATACATACAGATAAAAATCAAAACAAAAAAATAAACGAGCAGAAAACTCTTTAATATTTTCAAAACCAATTTTTAAACTTTATATGTATTTGGGGGGAAGATTATTAAAAGAAAAAATATAATATTCGTATTATATTAAAAAAACAAAACAACAAAAATAATAAAACTATACTTTTTTTATTATTAATTTTTATTTACTTCTCCTAATCATCCCTAGCCAATGTTTGGCACATTTCCTTCATTAATTCCTAATTTAATTTCCAACGCTTTTGTCAAATCAACCAATAAATTTGAAGTTTTCTTTATTTTGGAAGCTTCAGATTGTTCAACTTTAAATAAGAAAAAAATTTTTTTAAAGAGATTAAAAAACAAACAAACATTTCTCCTTATATTTAGCAAACAATTCATTCAATAATTGTTTATTTGTTGGATCCAAATTAAAAATTTTGTACAAACATTTGAGCATAATTAACAGCTTAAAAATGGTTTTTATTCAATAAATTTATCCTTTTTCAAAATTTTTCTTTGAGGCATGAAACAGTCCAGCTTTGACTTGCCAATTTTTTTTTCGAAGAATAAAAAGGCAGAAAACTCTTCAAAAATATATTTTCTCAAAGCCAATTTTTAAACATTTTATATGTATTTGGGGTCCAGCTTTGACTTGCCAATTTTTTTCAAAGCCGGAAAAAAATACCGGCCATGGCTTGTCCCAAAGTCATTTTGAAAGAAAACGGATAGTAAATGATATCCGTTTAAAAATGATTTTGGGCCAGGTTATGGCAAGTCAAAGCTAAGGACCGTTAATTCGCAGTGATAGTAAACGACGGCAGTCCCCCTATGAGAATGAGAATTTACGGCTCCCATACTAAGGTTGTCGGATCCGAATCCGAAAAGGCCGGAAAAAAATACCGGATCCGGATATCCGAAGATTTCCAACTATCCGACAACCTTATCCCATACTAGTCTCCTTTCGTTCCACTTCTCCCCCTCGTTTTTTAAAAATAATTTTTACTGTTATGTTTTAGCCATCTCATTCATTTTCAAAAATCAATTTTACACAAATTTTCCATTTAAAAAACAAAAAAAAACCTTATCCTTGTAGCTATATACCCGAAAAGCAATAACCCAAAAATTAACATCTTCACAAGGCATTTGAAGTATTGGCTTAATAAATTTGCAAGCTTCTTCAATAGGATTTTCAGGTTTCAACAACTTTTGTGTATCAAAAGGTTCTGGATCGAAAACATCAAATTCCCCATCCATTCTTTGCTTGGACTGAAAAATAAATTTAAAAAGTTTTTGAAAAAAAATTTTTTTTAATTCCGAAAATTAAAAAAAAATTCTCAAAAAATTTCCCAAAAAAATTTTTTTCAAAAAAAAAAACCGTAGATTGTTTTGCAGCTTGTTCAGCATTCTGTTTATCCTTTTCAGCTTTAGCTTTATTTGCCTTTCGTTTAAGTTTTCTAAGTTCAGCAGGAGTTAAAGCAGAATTATCTTGCGTCTGTTTTTCAACAAATTTTTGAGGATTTTCAACCATATCAATATATATCTATTGAAAATTAAAAAAATATTTTTAAAAAAATTAAAAAAAATACCGAAACAGCCAATTTTGTAGCTTTAACATAAAATTGTTGAGAATTTAAAACATCTTCAAAACGAAGAAATTTTATATATGTTGAAAGCGTCATTTTACGAAGACAATCTAAAATTAAAAATATTTTATAAAATTAATTTTTAATAAAAAATATTTTTTTCTTACATCCATGAAAGTCATATTGATCCTCATAAAAGTTAACAAAATGCTAGAAAAATATATATTTTAGAAAAATAAAGTTTTCAAAGAGAGATAAAGAACCTGTTCAATTTGATGACATTTTTGGAGAGATTCACCATATTTAGCTAAACGAAAATATGCCAAAGCAGCTTCATATTCATACCAAAGACATCTTAAAAAATAAAAATTAAAACCCTCTCTCAGGATCCTCTTCTTTTATGCTCCGAATTAAGAAGGTTGTCGGTTCTTGGAAAAGTCCCAATGGGGGATGGGGCAAACTAGAGTCCGGCAAAATCGCATTCCCGGGATCCCGGAACGGGATTTTTTTTCAAAATTTTGTACGGGACGGGATCCCGCGGGATTAATCCCGTAAATCCCGTAATCCCGGTAATCCCGTTTTCAAATTTCCCGGGATCCCGCCGGGATTCCGGGATTTTTACAAAAAAAAATTTTACGTAATAGATATCGGGGATATTGGTGTATTTGGAGGGATATCAGTGGATTTAGAGGGGTATCGAAGAATTTGGAAGGATATCGGAGGATTAGCAAGGATATCTGAGGATTAGTAAGGATATCGGAGGATTAGATGAGATATAAGTTGCTATAGTTAAATCGGCGGATTATGAGGTCAGTTTGGACGGATTAAGAGGTCATTATGAGGTCATCCTTGATCCACCTTAATCCTCATTTCTTCGAATCCCCATTAATGCCTCCGAACCCACTGATATCCCTCTTAATCCCCCCAATTTCTCTAGAGACTTCTCTTTATCCCTACAAATCCCCTGAGATCTCTCCAAATTATCTTAATCTCTGTAAATCGCTTATCCATCTTAATCCTCATATCTTCAAATCCTTTTAATCCCTCCAAATCCACTCACCTTTACCAATATCCTTCTATAACTCCAAATCCACCGATAGCCCCCAACTCCTTTCCAATTTTAAGCGCCGCAGGCAAAAATTTTGAGAATTTTGAAAGGCCAGAAACCAGATTTCTTCCATTTTCAACGCCGCAGGAAAAATTTTTTAGAATTTTGGAAGCCCATGTTACTAGATTTCTTCATATTTCAGCGCCGCAGGCGAAAATTTTGAGTATTTTGGAAGCCCAAGAAGCCAGATTTCTTCCTTTTTCAGCGCCGCAGGCAGTTTACTGGAGAAATTATGAATCCCGTAAATTTGAAAAAAATTCCCGGGATCCCGGGACGGGATTGGGTTTTAAAAATTTGACCGGGACGGGATCCCGCGGGATTAATCCCGTAAATCCCGGTAATCCCGTTTTCCGCAAAAAACCCGGGATTCCGGGACGGGATCCCGTAAAATCCCGTGCGGGGTCCCGTCCCGTGCCGGACTCTAGGGCAAACCATATAAAATAGTGACTCACAAAATATGCACGAAAAATTGCAATTTTTCGGCTTCACTCATCTTCATGTGAAGCCCAAAACTCGTCATCATTCTCATCATCATGTGATTATCCGCATACCAGACAAGCATTTGCATGTTTTGTGGGTCCCTACTTATAAAAAAGCCTCCACTTCCCCCAAGTTTCTCCTCTTTTAAAAATTTTTGGATATCCGAAACCGAGTCGAAAAATCATCGGCCCTTCAGTTCGTTTCCGAACCGACACCTCAACAAATTTTTAAAGACTTTTGGGAACATAAAGAAAATTTTAATGCTTACTGCATTTCTATCATACTATCATTTGCACTCATTCCCTCACGAGTAAATTTTGAACACATTTCTTCAGCTTCTTTTATACGACAATCTCTCAACAAATATTTGGCACATTTACTATTTAAATAACGATCTGCAGTATCCAATTCTTGTGCAGATAACATTAAATCGGCTGCTGCCGTATAGTCACCGGAATGCTTAAAAATAAAAAAAACATTTTCAAACTCCTCCAAAATTTTTTTTAAAAAACCTTAAAAATTTTAGCTTTAGCCATATATAATTCAATTAATGTTGGAGTATGTTTTAAAGCTTCATCAATATATTTAAGCGCTTTTTGGTAATTTTTTAATCTATCAAAATGTTGAGCCAAATAGTAATAAGTCCACAAAACGGTTGTTGGACATTCGGGAAGATTTGAGCCTTTTAAATTTATAAAAATGTAATTTTCTGACTACTTTAAGAATTATAAAGGTATTTGCCGAGTTTAGGGCCGTCAAATTTTTTTGTTTTAAGAAAAATGGGAAATTAATTTCAATTACCCATTTTGAGTCTTTCCATGCTCTCATATAAGTAAAAATGAGTTCTACGAAAAATTAATATTAATTGACTATCTTGAGTCTTTTTTGGGTTTATTGTTAGTAAAATGGGTTAAACAAAGAATTAATATTAATTAACCATTTTGAGTCTTTTTTGTTAAGTAAAAATGGGTTAAACGAAAAAATTCTATTAATTGACTACTATGAGGCATGACTATTTTTAACCGAAAAGTAAAAAAATTGACAGACCAAAACCGGTAAGACCATTATAATCAAGAAAGGTAAATTAAAAATGTGTTTCTTTAAAAATTACCATCCAAAGAGAATCGATTATACCCGTTTTCTTCAAATTTGTAAACAAAATCCAAAAGAATTCTTTCGATAGTTTTGACCTAAAATAATTTTAAAAAGTTAAGCATTTAAAAAATATATTCAAAAAAAAAACCTTTTGTTGATTATCATAAAGCGTCAAAAGATTTTTAAAAAGAGAAGGAATTCCTTTTCGAAAACAAGTAATTAAATAAGTACGAACTTTTTCCTCAAAAATTGGACCTACAAAAAAGAAAAAAAATTTTTTTAATAAAAATTTAAGCAAACCATCAACATATAACAAATAAATTAATTTTGGAAGAGAAGCTTTAGGACGTTGGAGAATTATTGTATCATATAAAGTAATGAGGTCTTGATTATTTTGTTGGGTATTATCTGTAAATATTGAAGATCAAAAATATTTTTGTTTTTAAAATTTAAAAAAGTAGATAAGGATTTTAAAATTTTGGGAGAACCATGGTGTATTAGAAACTAGGCCAGTCTATCGCAGAACCAAGAAAACAAAAATATCATCAAAAGTGTATTATAGTAACGCCCGACGAAACTAGACAAGCATTTTTAATCATACAAAAATTGACCAGATCAGACTTTCACCAGCATGAGCCGCGTCTAAAAGCCAACGATAGACAACCTGGTCAATGTGTACTCGGCATCTAGCCGAGCCGATTCTCGAATCGTGAATTTTTTTTATTCGGCGGGACCTATCGTGTGTTCTTATGTGTGGTTCCTTCAAAGAAAATTGAGGGAACCACAAAGAACCCCAAAAAAGCTTAAAAATTACCCAATTTCCGACATTTCTCAATTTGTTTATAATAAAAAATATTATCAGGATTCCTATCAATTAATGTCCAATAAACTCTTTCAGCATCCTCACAACGTTCCAAATTTATTAGTAAAGACGCTAAAATTAAAAAAACCTTTTTTTAATTTAATTTCTTTAAAAAACCTCTAATCTCAAAATAAGCAAGTCGATCCAATATAGAAGTGGAATTTTCTTCTAAACGCGCCAAGGCTTCGCCAAAACGTCCAGCTTCTGTAAGTATCATAATTTCATAGAGAATAATCTCGCTGCTTTCAATATCGATTTTTGCAGGAGCCTGAAATTCAGGAAAATTTGAAAAATGTAAATCATGCCAAAGAAGAGATCGAGACTTATGAAAAAGTTCGAACGAAAGTCGGTCATGACTAGTTATTTTCGAATCCACAGACATATCCTTATCCATGAAAAAATACAGGAGCACTCAAAAAACGCCAAAGCTTAAAAGATGCCTTGTTTCAGAAACCCCTTAAAGTTCAAGAATTGACTATGTCTGGCGGGTAAGCATATGACCGGAACGTATTCAAAAAACAAATTTCCTTTAAATTACCCTATTATTCTTCTTGAATTCACCAAGAATATATAAAGCAACATCATATTCCTTCAATAAATGATAAGCAGAAGCATAACCAATCCAACTCATTTTTGATGGTTTTAAAACAAGTAATTGATAACGAGAATCCTTTAAAAAATTTATTTATAAAATTTCTAAACAAAAAAACAAACTCGATATCCTTCCAAATCACGCAATTGAATTTGTAAAAGTGACAAATCTCTAAGAATTTGCACATTTTCCTTTTCAATTCGAAGAGCCATTTTATAAGCCTTAATAGCCTCATCGTAGCGTTTATCGGAACGTTGAACTGAAAAGTATTGTTGGTATATAAAAAGTCAAATAAATTCAAGTTAGGCTAACAAGGGAGACTATTGAACTTTGCGTATTAATTTTATATTTTTTGGTAACATTCAATAGAGCAGTTGATTTCTTAACGTCAATTTTAGGCCTTTTTGGTTACCTTGTCAAAATCAATACCAAAATCGCCCTAACCGAACCAAAACGAAGCCAAAAATAGACTAGATGCGAGGTCTTAAAGTTGGCTGGATTCAGATAACTCTGACCAAACTTAAAAACTCCAAATAGCATAAAAAATGACAAAATATCCCTGGCTACCCAAAACTGATTTTAAGCCATTCCCATGAATTTTTTACGTTGAAAAATAACAAACCTAAACCAAATACATGCCAACAAACATGCGATTTCAAATCAGCAGCCAAACCTTTTTTAACAATTTCCAAAGCTTCCTCATGCTTTCCCATACAATTCAAAATTAAGCCTTTCATGGCAAGCGTTTCTAAAATTAATATTTTAAGGAGCCCATTCAAAAAATTTAAAGAAACCTCCATGCTCACAAAAATTTGGATTAGAAAGTATTTGTTTTGCACATCTCAACCCAACTTTGTATTGCTTTTGTTCATAACATTTCTAAAAAAAGAGAACATTAAAAAATATAAAAACAAAAAAACCAAAATCTTCCGAAATAGTGCCAATTCCTTTGAAGGCAAAACCTGACTTCCACTGCTGATGAACGCGTTTGTCATTTTCTACGTTAGATTATGTTAAAAATAAGAGGATTTTAAGGTAAGGACTGCCAAAAAAAATAAGGTAAGAGATAGACAAGATTAACAGCTAAAAAATGAAAATTAATAAAAACTCATCCGCGTCTTCATCGCCTAAATAAAGACTCGCTTACATAAGAATTGGACGGATTTTGCGACAGAAAAATGATAGGAAAGGGAGAAAAGCTGAAACGATCTTATTGCCTTTGGTGAAAAAAGTAAAGTCAAAAAAATGGAAAGGGATAGAAAATTGGATAATAATATGTAACTTGAAAATTCGAAAATCCGAACGAACAAAAAATTTATAAAAAACAGAACTTCACCAGATATCTAATGATAATTTAATACAATCAATAAAAACAGGGCTCCGATCGACAAAATGCCACTCAAAAGTATCAAAATCTTGATTTGAAAGTAGATAGGGACTAAATTTCCAAATAAAAAGTATACTCAAAATTAAATTAGAAAATATTTATTCGTCCTCAAATCTTTCATATTTGCCTCCTAAATGAATATTTTCTAATAATTTCTTGTTTCTACTGAGCATTTTGTGCATTTCAATGCGCTTTTTTGTGGCGCCTATGGCGACACAAAATCTTCTATTTTTGCGCTGCAGGCAAAAATTTTAAAAATTTTGGAGGTCCTTAAGCCAGATTTCTTCCATTTCTTGCGCCGCAGGCGAAAATTTTTTGAAATTTGGACCCAAGAAGCTAGATTTATTCCTTTTTCAGCGCCGCAGGCAAAAATTTCGAGAATTTCAAAGGCCGTAGGCCAAAAAATTCACTTTTTTGCCCAATCCCTTGCCCAATTTCATTTTCAATCCAAAATGTTGATTTAAAAATAGACGGTTAGGGACGATTCCGCGCCGACGATTCCGCGCCGACGTTTCCGCGCCAGGTCAGTTCCGCGCCTGGTCAGTTCCGCGCCAGGTCAGTTTCCGCGCCAGCTATAGAGGTTCCGCGCCAGTTATAAAATAAGTAAATAATAACCTGAACACGAGCCGGTCCACTTTCTATACATGTATGATTACCTACTTAAAAAGATAATGGCTTTTTAGAATCAAAAAAATTTAAAAATCAAAGTATCACATATTTTGTATGGCTGGCGCGGAAACGTGCTGGCGCGGAACTGACCTGGCGCGGAACTGACCTGGCGCGGAAACGTCGGCGCGGAAACGTCGGCGCGGAATCGTCGGCGCGGAAAGATACCCCACCGAAAAATAGATACTTTCAAAAAAGTATAAATTCAATTTCGTAAGTATGGAGGTCGATTTAAAAGTAGAATACTTTTAAAAAAGTATGAATCGGAGCCCTGAATAAAAATCAAACATTAAAGAAAAAATTTTTTTTTGAAAATTTTACAAATAAAACAGAATGCCAATTAAAATTTTCCGAAGCGAAAATATTTCAATTTGTCAATTGACAAAATGTACAAAAGAAACTTTTAAAAAATCTTAAACATTGATCAGTCTACCCAGTTTATTGATTGACTTTGTATACTTTGTGACTATTTGTGACAATAAATTTAAACACTATCGTGTGTCAATTTTTTTCTTTTACAGAGAGAATGAAATGATTTTAAGCAGTAATAGTAATGAAAATATGGCAGTTGAACAAAATTTGGAAAATTTGCAAGGTAAAAAATTGTTTTTTTTGTTTATTTTTATTCTAGGTAAATCGTTTTAAGTCGAATTTACGGTTTAATCTGGGTATGGGCTAATACAGCCGAATGAAAATCACGTGAATTTCACGCGACCTTCAAAAAATGATTTTTGATCTAATTTGTCTGAACCGAATTCAGACATGTTTTTTTAGGTTTTTGGAACATATTAAGAAGCTAATTAAGGATAGTTGACTATATTCTCGGCGTTGAGTCAAAAAATAGAATATTTAAAGGTTCCCTTGACCTTTTTCAGGGAAATCATGGCCTAACAATAAGTTAGGCGGGACGTCTCTAGACCTAATTGACTCCAAGAATTGGTGGTTTCTTTAAATGTCATTTACATTCTTTAAAAATTTCAAATAAATTCATTAAACTTTGTTTTAAATTCCTTTTTTATTTTTTTAGGAGAGAAGACGCCATTCGATTTATTGTATAGCACCGAATCTGGCTTTTATAAAGCTTACGAGCTACAAGAGGTTTTTTTTTGCACTTAAATTGGTTTTGAAACTCAAAATCCTATTATCAAAAAAATTTTTGGAGTTTCGACTTTCGGGGTTAGACTGGAAAATATTTTCGATTTTACAAGACTTTTAGTTTTGAAGCATCTTTGATGTTCAATTTTTCAAAAAGCGTTTAATCATTCTTTAATTTTTTCAGATAATCGGTCAAGGCATAGCTTCAGTTGTACGCAAATGTTTGGAGAATGGTAATTTTGTTGATAATTTAAATTATAGTTGCACCACAACCCCCAAAACTCTTGATAAATTTTTAGGCAAAACCCCCGTCCTGTTCCCAGAAACAACTTCGACTATTTTTTGGCAAGAAACCCGACCCGAACCCCGAAGGCTCAACCCCGGCAAACCCCGATCCCTGACGATCCCTCCCTCAAAGGCTCGGGATACTACCCTAATTTAATTCAAAAAATTCATTTTTATTTTAAAGAGACTAAACATCCTTATGCTGTCAAAATTGTTGATGTAACTACTGAACGACAATCTGAGAAGGAAGCAAAGTTGGCACTGGAAGAAGCACTTTCTGAAGTGAAACTGTTGAAAAAACTTTCTGGACATCCTTCGATAGGTTTGGAATTTTATTAAAAATTTCTTCCTTCCCAAAATTTTCCCCATTTTTGTCGTGTTTCAATTCATGAAAAGATTAATTTTACAATTGCGTTCCTTAACATTTCTAAGGTCCAGGGACATATACCGATAATTTACAGCAAATTAGCTTTTCTTTAATGTCTAGCAAAAATTAGTGTTTTGGGGTTTTTTTGGAGGAGAAAATAGTGGGAAATTTGTATATGAAAATAACCCCTAATTTATTCATTTCATGAAATCTCTTATCAATTCTTCCACAGTTTTTCTCTCTCCTTCAATAGTGCCTAATTATTTTTAAAATTCTCAATTTTTCAGTAAAACTTCACGACTTTTACCCAACACCAACTTTTTTATTTATAATTTTTGAATTTGCAAGTGAAGAATTATTTGATAAATTAAATCGGGCAGTTAAATTTGGTGAAAAGAAAACTCGTCATATAATGCAACAATTGTAAGGGGATTTTTCTGAAAAAATTTTTTTTCAAAAATTTTTCTTTTTCAGGTTCGAAGGTATCTGCTTTATTCACGAAAAAATGATTGTTCATCGTGATTTAAAATTAGAAAATATTTTGGTTATTAATGGCGATCGGGTGGTTATTAGTGATTTTGGATTTGCAAAGCAATTAAAAGAAGGGCAATTATTAAAAGGTTTTTTAAACTTATTGTTGGAGAATATTTTTAATTTTGTAGCTTTTTATGAAAAAAGAGATTATAAGGCATGACCTCTCTAAAATTTTTTTGCTTAGGGACCTAATAAAATAAAAATAGATTTTTATTCATTTTCCCCTGAATGAGTATTTCTAACAGTGAAAAATAGGGTTGAAAAGAATGTTGTGTAGGGTTTTCAAAACTTTCTTCTGATTGGGTGTTGAGTCGAAAAAAGACCGAATATCGAGTTTTAGGTAACCCGGTCCATCCCTGTTAAGAAAAGTACTAAAAAATTTTTTTTGTAATATTATTGCTTTATTCACAAAAAGAATGTTCATTGACCAAAAAATTTTTTTCAAAATTTTAGATCTTGTTGGCACGCCAGGCTATTTGGCACCAGAAACTTTACGCTGTCAAATGAATGAAGATGCTAAAGGTTTTTTTTTCTTATTTTCTCTTGAATTAAAAAAAATTTTTTCTCTTACAAAAGGTTATTCATTAGAAGTGGATAATTGGGCATTAGGTGTAATAATGTATACAATGTTATCTGGACATGCACCTTTTTATCATAGACAACAACTTAGAATGATGAGAATGATACAAGAAGGAAAATACGAATTTAAAAAGGAATCGTGGGAGCATATTTCTGATGGAGCTAAGGATCTCGTATGAAATTTTTTCTAATTAGAAAAAAATATTTTTCTAACGTTTCCACGTTTAAAAGTTTGAAAATTTGAGGTCGTGGGTTCGATACCGAGTGGGGAAATTATTTTTTTATTTAATTCGTTATAATGGTAGACTAAATAATTTTGGGCATTTTTAGATATTGGGGAGTTTTTGAATTTTTTAGAGACAAAAAACCTTATTTTGAAACTATTCCTAAGCAAAAAAGTACACGAAAATTAGGGGTCGTGGGTTCGATGCCGCTCGGTGAACCTTAATTTTGGAAACAAATTTTTTTTAAATTTTCCCCAAAATTTTTTCCTTTTTTTTTCACAGATTCAACGCCTTTTAACTGTCCCAGTTTCAAAAAGAATACTCAGCTCTGAAAGTTTAAAACATCCATGGATGTTATCTACATCAGATGGAGAAAATCCTTCAATTAGTAAATGGGATCCAAGAAGAATATTTAGAATTGCTCAACATTCTATTAGGTTTTTTAAATTAAAAATAATTCAATTTCAAAATTTTTTTCTTTAAAGATTTTTGGTCAGAATGACGAATTCTAAATCAACAACAAAATTGGATGAAGGAGGTTTAAATAAAAAATTTTTTTGATTTTAAATTTTTTTTTCAGAGGAGACTCGTCCACGTCCATATAGAAGCAGAAGTGAGTTTGTCGGAAATTTTTTTAATTTTTATATTAAAATTATCGAGCCCAACAAAAATTAAAATTGAATATTTTTTACAACTAAAAAATATTCGGACCCGAAAAGGTTCGAACCCTCCACCCTCTAAAACTTAAAAAATCACCACTTAACCAAGAAATCAGAATCTAGAAAACTTAACCATAGCCGACAATTTAACTTAAGATAAGAATTTTTTATCAAAAACAATAGGCGGTTTAACTCTAAAAGGGTTCGAGGGTGAGGACCCCTATTAATCAGAAAATAACCCACTTAACCACAAAGCAATTTTTCGGAAAAAGAATATTTTTAAGCCTTTTTTCAATTTTAAACAAGTCTCAGGTTTAAACATAGGCTTTTTCCATACGAGAGAGATGCTTTTTGCAAATAAACAAAAATCTAAAATGCACCGCCGTCCTGGTTCTTTGGAGAAAAATTCAGCAAAAAGGAAGAAATCCTGTCTAGAAGGAATGATTGTAGATGAATATACTACGCAACAACAAAGTCAGTCAAATGAAGATCATTAAGAAGCTTAATTTACGTAATGCATTTTCTTTTTTTTCAATTATTTATAGAAGATAACGGTCCCAAAAAAATTTTGGAGCCGAAAGGATTCGAACCTTCACCCCCAAAAAATATCAAAAATCTCCACTTAACCAAATGGACAAAAATCTTTCTTATGGTCTTGAAATTACTCAGAATAACTAAAATTTTATTTTTCTTAAAAAAACCAATTTTTGGGACCGTTTTCTGATTTTGTAGGGTTGAAAAAGACTGGTTTATATTATAGTTAGTATACCAATTAATATGTAAAATTAGCCTATTTTTTAGAAAAATTAATTTAAAGAAACCCCCAAAAAAATTTTCTTTTTATTTTTTAGACACCCGAAACAATTTTTTTAAAATACAAAAATTAATTGGTAAACTTGCAACAACTTAATTTTAAATATTCTTTTTAAGAAAATAATCCTCTCCTGTTTTTTATTGTATAGATCTTGGATCTTATTGGTTATTATTATATTGATGTCAAACACTCGAAAATACATTTTAGCTTTTTTATTTTGAATAAAAATTTAAAAGAAAATAAAAAATTTTAGACTAGAGATATGTTTAAAAAAATAAAATTTGATATTAAAAATAAAAATAGCTGTGAGATTTTTTTAAAATAATGTGGAATGTTTGGGGGATTTTTAGAGACTTGAACAAATTTTTTTGTCTTTTTTGAGGGGAAGTGTCGAAAAAATTTTCCATGATCCTGAAATTTTTTTCATCCAAAAAAGAGGGATCCCAGGAATTTACGAAAAATTAAATTCTAAAGTTCAAGCTCTAATAAGCTTCTAAAAATGATTTAAAAATAAATTTCGAAGGGAAAATAAAAAAATTGGAAATTTTAGAGAAAAAATCTAGACAATCTACAATAAAATAAAAATCTAAATAAGCATCTAATTAAAAAAATAACCAGCAAAAGCACCTTTTGCTCTTTTAACTAACTCTTCAAAAATTAAAAAAGATATGTTTCCATTCCTCTCCAAAATAAACCTGCACATTTTAAGCAGTTTCATTAGATTTGTTGAGATCTCGTATAATTTCTTGGAATGATCTTAATTTTTCACGGGATATGATTAAAAGTTCTTGGACATTGTGTTTCTCTGCCATCTCATTGAAAAACCTTAAAAAATAAATTTTTTTGTAAAAAAAATAAGAACAAATTCCGCTTGGAAAAAATGGTAAAAATAAATAAAAACCACCAAAGGGACTCGAACCCAAGCCCCTTCCCCATAAACCCAAACATTAACGCATAACATTACGAACGACAATTGAAAAATTAAATTCAACAAAATCACAAGAATTAAATAAAGCCCACTCATGGTGCTCGAACCCACAAAATCATTTTTCCTCTAAACCCAACATCAAACCACTACACCACGGATGACTCATGAAAAACTAAAATACGCAAAATCGCAAAAATAAAAAACACCCTCGGGATTCGAAGCCACGACTAATACACTTTTTAATTAAAAATGACCCCAACCCTTTAAACCTAACACCAAATTACCACTAAACTACAAATGACTCAATTTAAAATAATAAATTCAACAAACTTTATAACATCAGTAAAATCCATATCATTTTCAATTAATATTTCCCTGTATTGTGTTAACAAAGCCAAACCAAAAAATAAACCAAAATGGCGAGAACAAAGAACTTCTGCAGACCAAATAACTTCCCAAAGTTGAAAAACGTCAGAATATTGTAATTCTAAAAAAGAATTTCTCTTCTTTTCTCTTAAAATTTAAAAAACCTCTCTTAAAATCAAGTAAAAGCCAACGATAAAAAACAACAAAAGAATAATCCACATTTCGCATTAATTGAGAATACAATTCTGGATCCATAACTTCTACTAAATAACGCTGAAAAAAATAAATTTTATTTTTTTTAAAATAATTTTTGATCCCTCCCTAAAATTAACTTTTCGATAAGCTCGTAACTTTTCGGAGTTTTTGACAAATTAATAAAATTTGATATTTTGACATGTTTTTTAAAATGATATTTTGGACTAAAATACCATCAAAATTACGTCTTGAAAATTTTTTCGGCCTCACCGGGATTCGAACCCTTGACCCATATCCTCCGAACAAACCACTACACCAAGAAGAACAAATTTTTGGTCCATCAGGATTCGAACCCATAACCTTTGAAATCTCTGACCTCCAACCAAAACATCAAGAAAAATAAATTTCCGGCCTCACTGGGATTCGAACCCATGACCGCCTTCCCTACCCTGACCAAAAATTAACCCACTACACCAAAGAAAAATTTTTTTTAATTTACAAAATGATTCAAGTTTTCATCCATTTCATTATTATGTTTGCATTGAGGAAGGTTTTTAGCCATTCTTCTCAACATTAAACGTTCAAAACAAGCAAGAGTTAACGATTCATCAACAAATAAAGCTAATAAAGGGGCCAGAACATCGCACATTCCTTGAACATACCCATCGTTTATATCAATTTTTAAACGTCGATAAATGTAAGTAACCATTATTTTACGTAAAATAATTAAATTTTCCATTTTTGAATAAAAACGAGTTATTCTATCACAACGATCGACGTCCTAAAAATTAGAAAAAAAAATTTGTAGGGGTTTCTAAACAAATTCGGAAAAAAATTTTGAGGTGAAATAAGGGATGATAGTTTATAGATAATTTTGAATTTCAGTGAGTGACATCCCATCCCGGAATTTAAAGTTTCGAGCTATTACTGGGGTTTCTAGGACGAGGTTAATACAACCGTGATCTCCGACACGCTCAATCTTTCGAAACTTAGTCCTGTTACGGGATCCCAATTTTTTGTTAAAAAATAATAGAATAAATCCTCCATCCAAGGGTAATAAAAAGTTCAATTTAAAAGGAGAAAAATTAAATTGAAAAAAAATTTTCTGAAATTGAAACAAACCTTTTGAACACGAATTAAATTTGCCATTAGTTCTTTTGCCAATAACTGGAGAAAAATGAATTTTAAATTGAAAAATAAAACAAAAAACAAACATTTTCTGAATTTGTCAATTCATTTTCATCAAAATCAACAACATCCAAATCTTCAAAAACATCAGAGTTTGTTGATTCTGAACGTGTAGAAGAAGGAAAATAATCTTTTTGAATTGAAAATTCTGTTGTTATAATTTCCGAATTTTGACGAGAATATTCTGAAAAAATAAATATTTTTTATTAAAATTAATTTTTTCCCTCTAATACCCCTAAAAATAAAAATTTATTAGGAATAATTCAAATTTTTCAAACAAAATTTTTTTCTAGGTCTTTCCCTCATTGTTCTCAAAAAGTTTGCTAGTTTTAGCAGCCAGTCCCTCGTCAAAAAAATTCATCAAAAAAATTTTTGAAAAAAAATTTTTTTACAAAAAATTGCGGACAACAAAATTGCGACAACTTGCGGACTTTTTTTGTAGGCATAAAAACGAAAAAAAATTGCTTTTTAAATTTAAAATTATATTAAAAAATTAATTAAAAAATTTCAAACCATTTTTTTGTAAAGAATTTGAAAGAAAATTTTTTTCAATTTCCATCCATTCATTCGAATCTTTTTCATATTCTTTTCTTAAAAAATCAATTTTATATTTATCCAAATCTTCATGCCATTCAACAATTCTTAATAAATAAGGCCAAGATTGAGCACGAAGAAAATCATTTTCTATTCCACAAAAATAGACACGAGACAAAAATTGTTTGTAAAGAGGAATCTGTGTTTAAAAATATTTTTGAATAATTTAAAAAATAAAAAAAAACTCGATGAGGATTCAAACATCTCCGGATTAGTAAGACATTTTAATCCTCTCCTTACCCAAAATAAAATTTAACCAACTCAAAAATTCCTCATAAAGTTACCACTAAGGGTTGTTTACGGTCGGTTAAATAAACCGGAACCGAAAATATGGAGTCGAAAACCGGCGATAACCGAAAACCGGGGGACCAGGTTAGTGAACAAAACAACTCTAGTTCCCACGATCAAAAATAATACTTTTAACAAAAAATTATTTAAATATACCGATTTCTCCATTCTACACAATTTCCAAAATGTTTCAGTTACAGGCATTAATTCACCATCAATTCCATTTTCTTCTTCTTCATTTCCACAATTTTCAATTTCATATACAATATTTGCCAAACGAGTCGAAATTATTCTCATATGTCGACAATAAGATAACCAACCATTAAATGCTCGACTTAAAATTTGTGTTTTCATTGCTTTTGTTGCGTTAACCAAAGAAGACCTAAATTTTTATAAAAAAGTAAAAATTTTAAAGTAAAATTAAAAAAGGCCAACGGAAGAGGACCAAAAGTTAATGAATGGGGTCATCTACCCAGTTGACGTAAGTCTCGAACACAAAAAAGTTAATTATTTTAAACCTTGTGTTTCAGGGGTGTGTCAAAAGTTATTTTAAAAAGCGAAGGGCGGACGAAAGTCCAAAAAAGGTGAAAGACGAAAGGCGAAACTCGGACACCCCTGTTATGTTCCCCTCTATACTATTTGCTCCCCAATTCTCCTATTTTAAAGTTAAATCAGTTGAAAGGGAATTATACAAAAAATAGGGAAAAAAAAGAAATATACTTCAAAATCCTCACTAAAATTAAAAAAAACAATAAATGGAGAAAAAGGGAAGAGAAGAAAAGTGGATGACGACATCCTAATCTAAAATATCAACGGCATCCGCCATTTCCTAATAAATTTTATAAAAAAATACCTAACAGCCTGTCCATCATCATCTTTTGAATTTTCTCTACTTGTGGATCTCTCACTAATTTAGAATTAAATTTACAAAAAATAAAAACCCCAACAAAAAACCTCGTCATTTTAAAAGGTGCTTTAGTCAAATTAAACGACGGAACAACAATTGCTGGACCTATTGTAGAAGCAAAAGAAACGATACTGAAAATTAGACCAACACTAGTTTCCTTGCAATTGGATTTATCTTCTGCTGTATTTTTGATATTTGTGGAAGATTCATCTAAAAATTAGTTAAAAAATTTAAAAACCTTTCTTAAAAAAGTTTTTGAGTCAAAAAAATTTTTTAAGTAATTAAATTAATAAAGAATTCAAATACATTGAAAAATCACAAAATGAACCGAATCCACAACCAAGGGCGTAGCAAGGGGGACTTTTGGGGCTATAGCCTCCTGAAATGAGGAAGTGAACCCAACTGAAATAACCACCACCTAAAATCAACCTCCTGGCGAGTCCTTGTCCACAACCATAAAATCGAGTAGTCTAGAAAACTACAAACTCGACAGAGGGTAACTTTCAGCCTTATAAAATCCCCTATATTAAAAATTAAAAAAAACCTTCAATTCCTTTAATCGTCTCCAAAGGAGGCTGAATACGAAAAAGCGGCGCCAGCCCATTTTCTACAGCAAACAAAAAAGTTAAGCATTGTCGTTTATGTCCAAAACGAAAAGCTATTTGTTCAACACCATCAGAATCAACCAAAACAACAACATAGAAGGAAATTGATTCTTTTTCTGAAAATTTTGAAGGGAAAATAAGCTTTAAAAGAAAATAAGGTAAAATTGCCGTTTACCTCTCTTTTTCCTCCCCAAATTTATTTCAATTAAATGTACAGAATGGTCAGACCTTTCCCCGTTTATTCCAAAGAAATGGATTAGGTAATTAATTTATATTCTGTTTTGACGGGAAGATAAAAAGAAAAGTCTGAACATTCTGTAAAGTGATCAGAAAAATTTTGGGGAAGAAAAAGGGGTTTTGCGGACTTTATAAAAAGTCCGCAAAAAAATTTTTTTTAAGTCAGAAAACAAAAATTTTTAAAAGAAAAATACTTTGATGTAAATGAATGTGTGTAATCGTCTCCATTCTTATTGAAAAAGGTGTTTGATGACTATGAGAAGAGAGTTCAAAAGAAGTTTTTGATGTAAAAGAGTTGTGTTGGCTTGAAAAAATGTTTTAAATTTTAAAAAATAGAAAAGATAAACTTTGTGTCAGAATGAAGTAAAGCATTTGGCGCCCATTTAAGCGTTAAAATTCCATTAATGTCTTGTTGAAGTGTGAGATAACCTGGAAAAAAAGTGATTGATGCTTATTTAGGAACAAAAAATATTTTTTGGGGTATACTCCGCAATTTTGGAAAAGTCCGCAAGATTTGTCCGCAAATTTTAAAATAGTCCGCAAAAATTTAATAATCAAGTTTAGGTCCCCGTTTTCCTTATTTCCCCTAAAAACGGCTATAAATCAATGAAAGTTCGTCAAAAATCCCTCCAATTTTAGCTTAAAAACCTTGTTGTTCTCTTCCTCCAAAATATACAGAAATATTATTTTTCGCAAAAAGAATACAAGTTCTTGGATTTTGATGAAACGAGAAAGCATTTTCTCTACTGGAGGATGCTGAATTGAGTTCTGGAGATGGAGCTATACTTGTTCCTCTTTTAAGCAACTGAAAAAAATATTTTAGAAATTTTAAGAAAAAATCCGCAAGTTTAAAAAAGTCCGCAAAATTTGTCCGCAAGTTCTGTCCGCAAATTTTAAAAAACAAATTTGCGGAGAAAACTTGCAGAAATTTTTAAAAAATCAATAAAATAAAAAATATACCGCCAAAGGTGGTCTCCTTTTAGGCGTTGTAGAGGTCAACGAATTTGGTGAAAAATTACAATTATTTAGTGTGCTCATAATTTACATTTTCTTTAATTTACTTACATAAAAATTAGGTAAAATTCCGTCATAAGTCCCGGAAACCGATTCAAACAAACAATATGTCATTTGAATGAGCTCGGCGAGCTGAGTCGAATGACACCAAAATTAGGTCCCGGTCTCACCCATGGACCGAGATATAGGCCTCCGAATATCGAAAAACCATAGGGGGGACCAAGCAAATTTTTGGGGTGAAAAATTCGAAAATGCAAATTATACCTCATTCGAAAGAGCTCCTCGAGCTGAGTCGAAAGACACCAAAATCAACGAAATCTGATTTGATTTAACAAAGTTATGATCGTTTGTTTTAGCTCCTTACCTTTGTTCTCCGTGGATGTTCATGCTGCTGCGGAGGAAGCCGGGCATGACATCACAGCGATAATTGGAATAGGATTAAGTTACGAGCCCAGACCCAGCGCCCGTAGACTCCCCGCGAGGCGCGTGCCGCAAAACTCCGCGCGAAGCGCGGAGTTTTGCACAAGCGCCTCGCCGCCGGCCCATAGGTTTATGTTGTTTGTTTTTTTGTCATAACTTCGAACAAACTTGACCAATCACGGCGATTTTGGTGTCATTCGACTCAGCTTAAAGAGCTCTTTCAAATGAGCTATTACTTGTATATTCTAATTTTTCACCCCAAAAATGTGCTTGGTCCCCCCTATGGTTTTTCGATTTTCGGGGGCCTATATCTCGGTCCATGGGTGAGACCGGGACCTAATTTTGGTGTCATTCGACTCAGCTTGCCGAGCTCTTTCAAATGACATATTGTTTGTATGAATCGGTTTCCGGGACTTATGACGGAATTTTTCCAAAAATTAAAAAGAAAAATATGTTAAAAAATAAATAAAATAAAAGCAGCTTTTACACTGAAATGAAGAAGTAAATAAAAAAAGGAAGGCTCTTAAGCCTGCCTCACGAATAACTAAATTAGTGAGAGTACAACTTTAAAAAAAGTTGGACAGAGGCTTATTTATTCCCACACGCGAATGGCAGAAAGTATTTTTTTTATTTTTAAGGTAAAAAAAGGGGATAATCAATGAGAAAAGAAAATGTTCGAAAAAAAGGTGTAAATTTTAATAATTAATTGTGTTGAGGTTGGGGAAAATTGGAAAAAGAAGGTAACCCATGAAATAAATTTCAGACTCTAAAACCAAAGAGTGAAATTAGAACCCGGGCCTCTAAATATTACCCCTGGGGGGAATAGGGGGGGGGAATAGAAGGGAAAAGAGGTAATAGAGGGAAAAGAGGGGATATTGGAGGGAAAAGGGGGGATAGAGGGAAAATGGGGGGGGGGGGGGGAATTGAGGGGGGGGAGGAAAAAAGGGGGGGGAATAGAGGGAAAGGGGGGGGGGGGGGTAGCAGGGAAAAAAGGGTAGGGGGAGGATAGAGGAACAACCAAAATTTTAACAGAAGCAGAACACATAGAGAAAAGACGGTGCAAATTAAAAGTCTTAAAGTCTTCGATTTTCGGGCGGTATAGGGCATAACTCTCTAAAGCACAATTCCGAAGAGGAATATCTGTAGAAAAGGAAGATTGTAGAAGAAGCGCCAATTCCCTTCCCTGTTTTTCGTACTCTAACGTTCACCAACTCTAAAAAATTGGGAAAAGAGCAAGGAACGGAAGAAATAGTATAGCCAATTTAAATAACCGCTTTATGCACAATTTATTTAAACATTATGCCAAGAAATATTTTTTTCTAAGAGTAAACAGCTGATGGGATTTTTCAAGCTTGTTTTTCCTTTTTTTTGTTTTTAATTTTTTTTTAAATTTTATTTTTAATTAAACAGTTATGGTAGAAGAGATTGATCGTGTAGAAGAGGAGGATTCCAATTTTCTTCCATGTCAGAGTTGGCAAATTACTCCCGATCCAATTGTTATTAGAGGAATAGGAAACTTAACGTTGTAAGACAAAATTTTTATTTTTTGGTGTAGTGGGAAAGTGTTTGGTTCGGAGGTTTTATAGGTCGTGGGTTCGAACCCCACTGGGGGAAAAACTTTATTTTGTGGTGGGGGAATATAATTAAGTTCATTTAAAAAATTTTTGACTCCCAAAAATATCAAAAAATATTTTTTTATTATTAAAGGTTCGGACTCAATTCGCGTTTCTCCTCAGAATTTCCATGTTCACTAAAAGGAAAATTGGCACCAGAAGAATTTCAGGTTTATTTTTTTTTAATTTTAATTTTTTATTTAAATTCCTTTTTAGGACACAATGGATCGAATTAATTTTGTTTTGCAAAGGAACATTCATTCACATCTGCGTTGGCTAATTTGTGGTTTAATTTTTTGTTGTTGTAGTATGGGTATTTCTTTGTGGCCGGTGATTTATTTGAATAAAGGAGTAAGTCTTGATTTTTATTTGGTATACAGGGGGAATCTCTGTTGGGGAATCTCAGCAAGCTAAAGTAAAATTAAATTGGGTCACGAAATTTATCTTTTTGAATTCATTTAGAAATTTCCCTATTTTGGTGGATCCTCTTTATATTTCTCCATTTGTAAGGGCGGAACCAGGGCCGTAACTAGGATTTTTCGGGGGTGGGGGCCAAGGTAACACATTGCCTGAATCTATATTCCATAGTTGCGGGCTATAAATAACTCAATCATTTCTCTGAATGGATTTCTTATCAAAAAATTTTTTAAAAATCGAAAGAAAAAAATATACAAATTTCGGAACGGCCGCGATTAATTATATTTCTTTTAATTTTCCTTTTTTTACAGACAATTTCAGCAGTCAAAGAAACACTCGAACAAGAAAATCAATTACTTTACAATAAATTAGGTTTAATTTTTAAATAATTTTACAAGATAATTCCCTTGCTTTTAAAGGTTTTAATTGGAAATTATCTCGTAGGCCTGTTGAAAATACCGAAAATTTAACTGAATATGTGCTGCTGATTGAAACTTTGGCTAAAATTCCATTGTCAGTGCCAGACTGATTTTTAAAGCGCAGATTTTTTGCTCAAAAATTGTATTTTTACTTTAAAATTTTTATTTTTAATTTCAAATTTTTTAAAAATTTGCTTTTATCTCATTTATTTTTAGGCAAAATTAAATCTGACCGGTTAAATCGAATTTATTTCTTCAAAAATCCAATTTTTCTTTATTTTTTCCTGACAGTTTTTGAGTTCATTAAATTTTTCTGTTGCGTACTAGGTGTTTAGACGATCCGATTTTCGAAAATCGTGAATTTATTTTTTGTTGACTAAACACACCTGCACATACATTTTTAGGGGGAGAAATCAAAAACTCGACAGCTCCCAAAAGTCGAAAACTTTGAAGCCCTATAACTTTTACATAAATTTGGGGGACGGGACAAAAAAAGCCAAAAACCTCGCAAAATTTTCGGTGGTAGTTCGCGGTGTTCCCTTATGTCTATTAATTATTAGGATTAAAAATCCATCAAATTTAATTTCTACTAGAAGAGATAAAAGTAAATTTTCATCTAAAAATACTCTCATTAAAATGGTAATTTTCAAGTCATAAATAATTTTTAAATTTTTTCTTTAATCATTTCTATTCATTCTGTATATTTTTTTTCTCTTTCCCCTTTCAATATTTTTTAATAAAAAAATCGCAAAAAAATATTTTTTCCAAAATATTTTTAAAAATTTTTTGTGTTTTTTAAGTTCCTCTTTAGAACACAAAAATAAATTAAAAAATTAAAAAAAATTTTCTGAAAAATTTTTGAAAAATATGATTTCCTGGGTACACCCCAAGGTACCTCAAGGCCAAAGTACCGCCGAGACATAACTTTGTTCAAAATTGTCGAATCCGGGACGCCCTGGTATGGTTCGATTCAGCTTGTCGAGATGCCTCGAACCATACCATGGTGTCCCGGATTCGATAATTTTGAAGAAAGTTGTAGCTCGGCGGTACCTTGGCCTACTTCCGTATTTCCTTGTATAATATTTTGGCTCTATCTTAGGACATGCGTCCCATGTACATTTATGCGTCCCATAAACTTTTATGCGTCCCATGGAGGTTTATGCGTCCCATAAAAGTTTATGCGTCCCAAAAATAGTATAAGCGTCCCTTCAAAATATATGCGTCCCAAAATTAATATAAGCGTAAAACAATTGTGAAAACATTTTTTATTTTATTAATGATAATTAAATATTAGTCCTGGAACTTGGAGTTGATAATTCTGCTGGTAATTTACACTAACGTTTTATAAATTTAATATAAGGTCTTGGTTTATATTTTTCCAAAAATAATATAAGCGATATGTAAATGCTGAAAATATTGGACATGGATCAACCATCATTAGCGATGGCTGGGCAGCGTATGGAGATTTAAACAACCTTCAGCAAAACATAATAAAATATTTAATTTTCATTAATACAATTAAAAAAGTTTACAAAATTCTCTTGCGCTTATATTAATTTTGGGACGCATATACAATTTTTGGGACGTATATACTTTCATAGGACGCATATACTATTTTTGGGACGCATAAACCTCCATGGGACGCATAAAAGTTCATGGGACGCATAAATGTACATGGGACGCATGTCCTAAGATAGAGCCAATATTTTTACATTATTTTTATTTTCTCGATTACACCAAATAGTAAATGCAAAAATAAAATTAAAAAAAGATCAATTATTTAAATACAAGAGATGGTATTTTCTTTAAAATTAATATTTTCTTTTTTCATTAGAAGATGTCGGTTCATTTAATTTTCGTTTTAAAATTGATTTTACAGAAGGCTAAAAAAATTTTAAGTTTTTTAAAAATTTTTTAAAAAATCCTCAAAAATTTCCTTACTTGTAATTCTTCATCTGCCCGGCTAAAAGAATGAAGTTCAACAATATCAACACTCGAAACAGCAAATAATACATCATATGGGCGGGGTCCAAACCCTGTATGATGAGCAGACCGACATTTAAAAATATTTCTGTCGTCGGTTAATAAACTTTAAAAAATTATTTTTAATTAAAAATAAATTTAAAAGAAACCTCGATTCCATCCCTGTATGTGGGGCAACACGAACAACCTCCAAAAATTCACAATAAACAATATAAAGATGTGGAGCTGTATAAACTAAAAAGGATGAGAATTAAAAAAAATTTTCTTTAAAAATTACCAAATTCAAGTGGCACTTTTTCCCATTCAATATTTCTGCTTCGAGTCCTCTTTCCTTTTGAATTGACAAAAAGTCCAAAATCTTGAAAAAATGAATGTTAAAAAATTTTTTCCTAAAAACGAAATTTTCAAATACAGTCAAACTCTCTTAAAGACCAATACTCTAACAATAAGCAACGTTTTCTAAAAATTTAGATAGCTACTGAAGGGGCAGCAGTCTAAAGTTACCTTTAATTTAAGGGTTTAACACATCCCCCATTTTGCATCACCTGAAATCTAGCCGCTGGATATAAATCCAACCGCCTTTTATGAGATACTACTTTTTTAGTTCAAAGTGTGTATCTTACAGTGAGGTTTGATTTGAATTTTTTTAGAAATATTTTCAAAAAAAAAACAAACTATGAAAAGCCAAAAGAAATTCATTGTCAGAAATTTCAACAACTGCCACAGGAAAGTCATAAGGACAATTATCTACTGCCAATTGCATATCATCTCCACCAAAATTATTTTCATTTGAAAGAAAACGGAAATTATCTGCACCAAAAATAAATCCATTTTGTGTTGAACATATAGCTATAGGTGGTTCTTCTGTTAATATTTGTCTAATTGTTGAAAATACTCCAAGTTTAACAACATATTGAAGAATATAAATTGAGTCGATTGTTGCTACATAAACAAAACTGGAAAAAAAGGGAAATTTTTTTAATTGTATAAAAATAGGGACGTCTCCCTCGGAAATAGGGTTGCCAGCTCGCCCGAACCGAAACTCGAAAGATCGAGCAAGCCGAGGCTTTTCAGCTCAAAAACGAACCGAAAAAAACCAAGCTCGAAAAAAATGCAACGAACCGTGGAACCCTTCTCAATAAGTTCAAAATGAGAATAATAATTTGGGTGAATATGTAAGGAATTTATCTCCCAAAAGCTAATTTCAAAAAATATTTCCCCCCAAAACAAACCGTTTTCCACGATTATGTTCCACTTTACTAACAACAGCAATATGACATTGTTCAATATTTGGAGCAGCAGTGGTAACATAAACACTTGGTTGTTGATCTGCACGAAGGGCACGATTTAATTGTTGAGAATGTATAGCTCCAAGGCGGCGACTTGAATCACATATGGTAAGAAGCATATCAAATTCAGGAAGAAATTCCATCCAGAAAACCTTTAAAATTTATGAAATTAATTAGTCAACCACGTTATAACCTAGTTCCAATTAGGCACCTCGATTTAAAATAAGCGATTTTTAAATTTTGGCTGACCACAGGGTAAAGTTGGTGGCAATGGCGTAGCCAGGCGGTCGATTTCAGAGGGGGGCTAAAATGGGGTGTGCGCCAAAATTTTGCTACGTCTTTGGTTGTGGACCAGTGAAATTTCCGATAGACTGATCTTATATCCGAGTCGAAGTTTTCCAGATAACCGGAAAAAAATATTAAAAAAATATATAAAAAAAATATTGTATAAATTGTACCATTGAGTACAATTTATACAAAAGATAATTTCTGATCGAATTCGGCAACCCTATCAATGGGTAAAGGAGCTGCCTTGATACCCTATCAATTTAGGAATAAAGTCTAAATGTTCCCGGCCTCAAATCAAAGGAGTTATCTTATAACGACACCCACTGCAGTATTCTTAATAGAAAAAAAGAAATATACTTTAAATATTCCAGCAATTTGAAATGGTGTACGATTTTGTGTTATTGCTGCTGCAAATAAACCTTCTTGTGCTCCAATAAGTAAATATTCATTTCCATTATTATAAGGCAACCATTGAGTACAATTTATGCATAAATTACGAGGTTTTTCCAATGAAAGTAAAAGTTGATTTGTTACAATTGTTGAAGATGGTCGTCTTTGAATAAATATACGACGATTTGTAGCTTGTTGTAATGCTTGAACCCAACGTTGTTTTGCTTGTGATGTTGGGGTTAACATTAATAATGTACGACTAAAAAAATTTATTAAGGGGAGAAGTGACAATTTAAAAGGAAATTCAACGAGGGTTGACTTCTTCCAAGAGAGTGGACTTTTCATATATAGAAGAAAATTTACCCCAAATTTTATAAAATCTTTCTCATTCATGATAAAACTAAAACAACACCCTAGAAAATACCCCAATCCTTAACAATCTCTCCAAAAAAGGGGATCTATTTTAGAAATCAGAAAAAAGGTTAGGATGAATTTAGTGAAGTACCCACTCACATCAGTCAGTGAAATATTTGTTTAATAAACTGATTTTGGGATAAAAAAGAACCCCAAAACTTGTGTTAAATGTAAGGCTTTTCTGAAGACCTTTACCTAATATAAAAGAAAATTTTCCATTATTTTACAAAAAAAGCCCGCAAAAATTGGTACAGAAAAGGTCCTCAAAAAGCAGTATTAAGAAAAAATAAAATTAAAAAAAATTCATACTTTGGCATTCTCAATTCAATAAGCATCGACATATCATTCTCTTTCACACCACCCAACGGTTTTTCAGTTGTTTGATTATAAATTCTCCATTGTTCATGATCCAAATTAATATTAATAAAGGGTGGACCATTCCTTTGTAATGCTAATTGATCACTTTCATAAAAATTGAGCGAATGTTTTTCTATCATAGCCCAAGCATTTTGCCATTTTTCAGTTATAGCAAAAGTAACTGGCGACGAAGAAGAAAAACGTGTAGCCCCACTAGGCGTTGAAGCAGGTAAAACGAGCAATTTTATCCATCCAGTCATTTGTTGTTCTCCATTCATTCCTCCACTATAAGCATCCAAATAAAAATCAGCACATTCATAGGGTAATCCACAAGTATTTACAACAGAAACTTTACAGTGTTTGTGAACAACCATGTTACAATCACGACAACGATAAACATAAGTAAAGTAGGGAAAGCCTTCAAAACAGAATTGACAACGATTCTAGAAAAGAAAAAAATTTTTTATCGATTCAATACAGCCAGAACTCATTTAAGATACCGTCCCTCTCCACCCCTCGAGGCTGGAAAAATTCTAACTTATGAAGCGTATGTACGTTAAATAGAGGTTGACATTTCAATCGCATTTTGGAATTTCGACCCATGGTTTTCATTGCTTTCATGGCTTTTGGGGGTTTGACATTTCAATGATTTGACATTTCGATTTTCCTAACTGCTCCCTCTTCTCCCCTAATCCTAAATAGAGGTATTAAATTCTGGGTGTATCCTACACATGAGATCCGACTTACTAGATTAATTTCCCTTTTAAAATTCCTTACCGAAGCCATTGTAACAAATTGTCTCTTCCAACGATGTGGAATATCATGACGCATTTTTCCAGGTGTAAAATTAGAATTTGTTCCAGTCACAAAAGTTCTCAAAGTTAAAGATTCGGAAGTTGTTTGACTTGAAATTTTTTTTATTAGAAAAATTTAAAATTAAAAAAAACCTCAAAGTTTCACCACAACTTTGCTGGTCTCTAATTGAACGCCGAACATTAATTAATGGAACAATTTCGTCTTCCTCAATTTTTTGATTATTTTGTGTCTCGGCCAAAACTTTAAAAAATTTTATTTTTTAAAAATTAAAAAGAAACCTCTTCTCTTCATTTCCAAATCATTTTTTAATTCATCACGTTGTTGTTCTAATTGTTGACATTGTTTGTATTCTGATTCAATTTCCTTTAAATTTTTTTTTTATTTTAAAATTATTTTTTATTGTTAGTCCCGAAGATATTCTATTTCTTTTGAAGGCAGGAGACTTTATATAATTATTAGAGCAGTGTAAATTAACAACAGAATTTACACTGCTCTAATATGGTTCGATCTAGAAATTGAGCTGGCTCTGGACAAAGGCCTAGGTTTTTCCTGTACAAAGAGTCCAAGCCTAGGTATTTTTTGACATGCCTGGGTTTTTCCTGGGCCTGGGTTTTCTGGCTACAGACCCAGGATCCGGCACATGTCAATAAATCAAACTCAGAACACAGGAACAGGCTTTTCAAAAATCTAGATCTCTAGTTCGATCTCAAGTCAAAAATCGAACCATAACAGGACGTCCAAAATTTATTTAAACACTACGGGCTGGGTCTCGGTATATTTAATAAAATACAAATAGTAATTCAAAAGTTTTGGTAATTTCTGATTTTTGAAACCTAATGATTCACTCATAGGAAATTTAAAATAAACAAACCGAAATATAATCAGATTCAGAAGACAACAATGAAGGCCGTGGACGAGGCAATTTTTGCATTTGTTTTGGTTGCATAACACTTTGTAAATAAGCAACTAATTTAGATTTTTGTTCCAAATCGGCTAATGCTTCTTGAAGTTTGTCTTCCAAAGAAACCTGAACAAAATTAAAATGATATTAAGTAGGGTTGCCGTTTTCGAGTCGGGCCGACGGTCGAGGCATTTTTTTTCGGGCTTGTTTTTATCGAGTCGGGCCGGTACAAGTCTTTTTCGGGCCTTACTTTATCGAGTCGGGCCGATACGAGTCTTTTTCGGGCCTAACTTTATCGAGTCGGGCCGGAACGAGTCACTTTCGGGCCTGACTTTATCGAGTCGGGCATCGAAACATTTTCGAGTCTTTTTTTAAAAGATTTATTTAAAAATAATTAGTGGATTTGGAGGGATATCTCTGAATTAAAAGGTATATCGATGGATCTGGAGGGTAAAGGAAGGGCTGAAGAGAATTGAAATGGATATCAGTGGATTTGAGGGATTAAGGTGATTTAAATTATCGGAGGATTGGTGTGAGATATTGCTAGATTTGGTTTTATTAAAGGAGATCAGATGATTAAGGGGATCAGGATCGCATATCAGATAATTAAGGTGCTATATTGTAATGGGATTTAAAAGGATTGAAGAGATTTGAATGGATATCGGAGATTTGAAGGATAACGCAAGATTTAAGTGATATTGTGCGTTAATCACCAAATCCCTTAATAAAATCCCAGTGTACCATGATTGAACTATTCGTACATATTAAGATAAGGGCTTACTGGAAAGTCAGGAAACCAGATTTCTTCTATTTTTAGCGCCGCAGGCGAAAATTTTGAGAATTTTGACCCCCTGGATACGCCCCTGACTTAATCTCTCAAACCGCCTTATATTCCCAGATTACACCTTATATCCCGGATGGTGGACTGCGGATTGCGTAAGATTGTGTGTTTTTGACTTGTGGACTGAAGATTACGACTGCGTATTTTAAAGTTAAAATTGCGGACTGCGGAAAATTGTGGACTCTCAAAACTGATTGAGTTTAAAAAGTTCAAATGATGATGGGATCCCGCGGAATATATCCTATAAATCCCAGTAATCCAGCTTATCGATTAAAGCCAGTAAGTTCGAGATGTGAAGCAAAGTATGGAGCTAAAAATTCTTCATTTCAGCGCCGCAGGCAAAAATTTTGAGATATTCGGAAGGCCAAGGAGCCAGATTTCTCCCATTTTTGTCCACAAATCTGGTAAAAATATTATCGAGTCTTGTTCGAGTCGGGCCGACTTTTTCCGAGACAATTTTTTTCGGGCCTGTTTTTATCGAGTCGGGCCGGTACGAGTCACTTTCGGGCCTAACTTTATCGAGTCGGGCCGTTACGAGTCTTTTTCGGGCCCAACTTTATCGAGTCGGGCCGGTACGAGACTTTTTCGGGCCAAACATCGAGGCATGACTCGATCTTTCGGTCCGAGTCGGTCCATTTTGGCAACCCTAATATTAAGGGTTAAAAGGAAGACACAACAAGGTTTAAAGCCTATTCATAAAAGAAAAAGTTAATCGCCCAATAAAGTAGGCAAAGCTCATACAAAATAAAATAATTGTAATTGAGCCAAGAGGTCAAAGAAGATAGTTTGACTCGGTGTTTTTGCTATCTAATTCTCCCTTTTTTATGACTTTAGGAAAGCGAATCAATCGAACAAGATTAATTATTTTTTCAAAAGAGCAAAGTTCAAAACATCGTTTGCAAGGCTTCTGAAACCAAGGTAAACGCAAAAATTTAAGGCGCACACCCAATGTTAGACCCCACCCCCACCCCCCCCCCCCCGAAATCAACCCCCTGGCTACGCCCTTGATCTTTCGTAGGTTAGAATCCCTGTCTGGGTAACTTTGTTACACTTTATAGGAATCTAGATTTGCCCAATTCTTAAATCTATACCCTCCTACTCAATTAAACAAATCCCCTTTTCCAAACCTTCTTTTCCTCCGCAATTTTCATTTCTAATTTTAATTTGTCATTTTCTTCATTTGAAGCTTTAAATTGATCTCTAAAATTCTCTGCCTTTTGTAAACATTCAGCAAAATTTTGTCTTAACAAAGTATTCTCATTTATTAAAGCCAATTCACGCTTTCGAATTTCTTCAAGTTCCAATTGTGTGGATGTTTGTAATTCTTTCATTTGATTTATTTGTTGTTCTAAAGAGCGAATATCAACAGCAGATTGGGCTCCTTTTTGCTAAAAAAGAATAAATTAAAAAAATTTTTTTTTTAATAATTGCTATTATTATTAAGTACTAGGGTTGTCAGTTTAATTATATTCTTCAGCTAACTAAAAATGATCCGAAAATTTTCGGTACGGGCTAGACCGCAACCCTAATTTTAATACACTATAGATGTTCATTCCTACAAGAAAACCTCAAAAAAATTTTTTTTGGAAAATCTGCAAATATTTACCGATCCTGATTTTTCTTGGGAACTTAAGATAAATTAGAAAATTCTTTACAGAAAATCCTTTAAAAATCCTTAAAAAAAATAAAAAAATAACCAATATTATACCAATTTTTCCCGTATTTCAGCTACTTTTCCCTTCTTAATTGCATCAAATTGTGAAGTGAAAGGTTCGTTTAATTTTTCACAAGTCAAAATTTCAGGTTCTTTAAGAACGGTAGAACGAGATTTTTTAAGTTGAAGCTAATACAAATTAATTTAAAAAATTTTTTAAAATTAAAAAAACCTCCAACTCAACAATTTTTCTTTCCAAACATTTTTCATTACTTTTTAACGACAAATTCTCACTTTGTAATTTACGAAATTCTGAATTTTCTGAACGTAATTTTCCACTTTCTGCTTTCATTCGTTCATAATCGTCTTTATAAGAATTACGTTCAAATTCACATTTTTGAAGTTTTTGCTATAAAAAATTATTTTTTTTTTAAATTTTAATACCAGAGGCACTCTCAAACATGGAGTAAAATTTTTGAAAAATTCTTTATTTATTTTATCATGTTAAAAATTGATGGAAACCATGTTTTTTCATGATCGGTTAATCCGATTAATTTTTGTCTGTGGTGGGCCCAAATGGTGAATTCCAGGGGCATTTGAGGTGCCACAGGCGAAATTTAAACTGTCGCAAACAACCCTATTGAAAATCTAATTTTGGGAGACTCAAAGAAATTTTAAAAAATAAAAAAAAGTCAGTCTTTAGGAAGTTTTGAACCTTTATACGACTTCTAATCCCAGTTTCAGAGCCAAACCATTCCCCAAACAGAATAAAAAAATTCACTCTCTCTAGTCTGTGAGTGTTCCCAACTTGAAATACTCCCAATCTAAAATTTAACAAAATAAAATTTATACCATTAATCTTTCACATTGTGCATCCAACTCTACAAGCGTTGTTTTTGCTTCTTCATATTTTTTATTATTTGAATCCAATTCAAATTGTAAACGATCTAATTGTAGTTTGTCACACGACTCACTTCTACGTTGAACCTGCTTGATTTGTTCGACCTGAACGAAAAAAATTTTTCTGGTAAATTTTTTTCATTTTTCTCTTCATTCCTCTTATTTTTTAATTATTAACCTTCTCTTCACAATTTTTATTGACATTGTCAAGTTGGTCTCTTAATCTGCCATTTTCTTTATTTAAAATATCTCGCTGACATTCTGTTGCCGCCAATTTCTTTCTTAAATCTTCCAAGATAAATTTATTATTTTCGAGCTGTTTTTGCTTGATTTCCTCAACCTAAATAAAAATTCTTACTTTAAAATCACATCTAAATTTGCCTATTTATACCTTCTTTTCGCCATTTTCTGCTTTTTGTAAACATTCAGCAAAATTTTGTCGTAACAAAGTATTTTCATTTATTAAAGCCAATTCACGCTTTCGAATTTCTTCAAGTTCCAATTGTGTGGATGTTTGCAATTCTTTTATTTGAGTTAATTGTTGTTCTAAAGAGCGAATAGCATCAACAGATTGGGCTCCATTTTGCTAAAAAATTTTAAAAATAAAATTGAAAAAATTATTTTCGAAGAGGGATTATAAATTTAAGAGTCTCCAGTAGAAGCTATTAGTGGTTTTCGGTCTAATTAAATTCTTTGGTTAATAAAGAACGATTCTAAACTCTTCGGTTTGAAATCTACAACACAAAAAACAACCCTACAAAAATTTCCGAAAATATGGAAAAATTTGCAGATCCGGAATTTTCCCCCAAAAAAAGCAATTCAGAAGTTCAATACAAAAATTAGAAATAAAACCGAATAATCCCCTTTTTAAAATTAAAAAATAAATATCATACCAATTTCTCCCGTATTTCAGCTACCTTCCCTTTTTGAATTTCAGCAGAATTTTCTGAAGTGGAAGGTTCATTTGATTTTTCAGAAGAGATTTCAGGGCCTTTTTGAACAGAAGAACTTGATTTTTCCTGGTCCAAAAATGCCCTTTTTTCCTCTCTAGCAGCTAGAAGATCACGACGAAGTCTATCAATTTCATCTTTGTATTCTTTAAGAAGACCCTTTCGTGTAATTCGTAAATTAACTTCTGGGTTGTTTTTGATGTTTTTGGCTCTCTGAGCATAGTCCAAAGTGTTAACAGATTCCTAAAAATTATTGAAACTCTTCACAATTTTTAACCCAAAAAACCTCAAAATTTGAAGAAGCTGGAGATATCGTTGCAATAATTGTTGTGATTGTTTTACCACCCAAGGAGTCTTGCAATATTCTAGTCAGCTTACTTTCACGATAAGGAATGTGTGAAGAGCCCATAGTCAATGCATTGATTACACGTCCAAGTGCTAATAAACTTGTGTTGATATTTCCTAATTTTAAAAATTCTCTTAGGATCGGGCTTCAGGAAAAAGTTCGGGGTTTCGAGTAACCCGACCCATCCCGTAATTGTAGCTAATGAGTTATCCTTACAAATGAGATTTAATCAATAAAAATATACCCGCTTCTCTAGCTCTAATATCTGTCGCTCCAGAACGTCCAATATTTTCGGAGCCAGCGAGATCCACCAAGTTAAGTTTGCCTTGTCGAAGCAACTCTTCCCCGTCTACAAGTCCAGGTTCTCGAATCTAAATTTTAATTCTTAACGATTTTTAACACAAAAACAAACCATAACAGAAATAGTGAAAACAGAGTGAGAACGGCTACAAATTAACAAAATATAAATAAAAATCATAAGGGAAACCTAGAAGTCATGTTCATAAGAGTTGTGGCTGTACGGCGCTTCTCAGCTCCACGTCTGAGCAAATCATAAACTTCCTTTAGCGAAAGGACTATAACCTCTTCAGCACCAATGATTGACACTCCCTTAAAATTTTCACAAACTTCACCTTTCCAAGTCAAAAATAAACCTTTTCTTTATCATCAAAAATTCTCAAAGATTCCAATTGAGAGTTCTCGCTTCGACTGAGCAAATCAAAAATTTGTTCATTGTAGAGCTCCACAAAACTGACGCGCACAGTGTAATCTATATCCACTCCAAGTTCAGAAAATATTTGTTGAAGGGCTCTAGGGATGATTCCGGCCGTTGGATCAGTGTTCCACGTGTAGTCGTTAGAGTCATCATGCCGCCCTTCCATTGTAAACGTTTTTCCACTTCCGGTTTGGCCATAAGCAAACACCGTGCAATTATAACCATTAAGAACTTCTTTCATGAGCGGAGCTAGAACGCCCTCATAAACTTCCAGTTGGGTGGATTCTGGGCCAAAAACCTTAAAAAAATATTCGAATCATTCAAAAACACAACAAACTTTATCATAAGATCCAAAACATTTTTGTCCTTGAATAAAGCGTAAAGAATCTGAAGCATTGACATTTTTGAGTGAAACAGTCTTTCCTCCAAAGTCACACGAAACGATGTTTTTGTTGCCAGAAAAACGTTCAGATTCGCTTAACGGTCTTAAAAAAGAAGGAAAAATTAGAGAAAACAAAGGGTGTAAAAAACCTGACTCTAACAACAACTTGGACATTTTTCCTTTTAACAGAATTATCTCTGGATCTGGTAGCTGACATTAATTAGCAAAGAATTCTTAACTGAAAATTATTTGTTTAGTTTTACGAAAAAAATAAATTCATTAAACAGAAAACCAGCATGAAAATTATTAACCTAATTTCTAAAAAATCGAAGGAAAAGAGAAGCCAACCTAAAAGGTATTAAAATTTGAAAAGAAAAAATACGCGAAGCATAAAATGACAAAATATCCCATTAAGCGAAAAAATGTTCATTTAAATTTTGGAGTTTTCTGGATTTTGTTTCGTTTAAAAAAGAGATCTCCAAGCAATTTCCCATACGACAAAATTATTTTTAACATTCTGATCAAAAACAAAAATGACGGGCTCAGCCGGTGATCGAAACCGGGACCTCTCGCACCCAAAGCGAGAATCATACCACTAGACCACTGAGCCTACATTAAACGATTTGATAAAATTCCTTTTAAATTCTATTTAAATACAAGAAGTCATTACGTTAAGAAATATTAAAAATACGTGTTAAAATGATCGTATTTTCCATTTTATTATTAAAACATCAAAACAAATAAATATACAACAAAAATCCAAACAAAATTTTATTCAAAAGTACTTTCACCCTTGGATCTTTCTTCATCTTTGTTTGACATCCTTTTATCATCCATTGTATCGTTAACAGTTTGTTTGCCTACAACAGTCGTCCCCTCATCAATATTTGTACTCGAAACATATTTCTTTACTTGAAGGTCTGTAGCATATGTAACTTGTGTTGGTGTATCATCATAAGTCGGAGAAGCCTCAATTTTTGGTTTGCTTCGATCGGCAATCATATACGAGTCTGTACTTCGAGCGGTAGCCATTTTAACTGTTTGATTCTTTTCACTCTTCTTGCAACATAGAGATAGACAGAGGAGAAGGACGATAAAAGTAGCAATGCTGAAAATTAAAAAATTATATGAGAAGGACCTTAACTAAGAGAGGTCCGAGGAGAGAGACCCATAAGAGCTTAAGGGCCTGATTTTACTAATTTTCAGAGGGAAACCTATCGTTGAAGAGAAATATTTCCGGCTGGAAAAACTCACAATATCACAATGATGACTACACTGACAATAATAAATGTTTTGTTATTAGAAGGCGGAGAAGTTGGAGAAGGTTCCTCTCTAGTTGTTGTTGTTTCCAGTTGATTTTTTGTTGTTGTCGTAGTCCCAGTTGTTGTCTTGGACGTTGTTGTTATTTTCGTTGTTGAAGTAGTTGAAGGAATTTCTTCATTTCCAAGCATTAAAAGCTTGTATTTTGTCCCATTCTGGAAAAATAATAAAATTTATTTTTAAACTCAGATAGACTGATACGCTTAGACTGATACACAACTATAGAGTTGGCGGATCCTGGGAAATATGTCAGAAGTGTCATTCATGGGTCACCCGAATCACGGACTTTTTTCCGGCCTTAAACCCATAGTCGAACCCCAAAACGAACTTTCCCTCGACACGTGACATCCCTGATCCGGATTTGAAAATTTTGGATATCCAATTCAGCCAACTAAATTAGGTGTTCAGGAGTGTCATGGGTTGAGTTTGTTCTTTAAGATTCACTCACAAATTTAACAAAAATATTGCATATTGGCCCTTCAATTTTCCTTGCTTTATCAACCCATATCCCACCTCCGTGAAATATTGACGCTTTTTGTGGTAGAAGATAAAAAACAAATAAATATCTGTATTTCTCGTTTAAAAATGTTTTGTCTTCAATTTTCCAAGCTTTTGGTCTGATTACTCCTTCGTCTGAAAGGCATGGATTCTGAGGGCAGGAGGAGTAGGGCCTTCCATCAAAATGTGTCTCATTCTGGCCAACTGATATTTTGAAGTGAGAAGTATGTCTGTTTGTTTTATCATGGTCATGAAAATCGCTGCATACTGTGGGATCGCCAACTGAAAAGTTAAAAAATGGCAATTGGGGGAAAAACGACAAAATGCCAGGACAATGCCAAACGACTCACTTGGCATCCATTTTGAAGATACAAACTGATTGTCAGTACTCTTTAACGACCAGCCAATTTCGAATCCTGTTTGCTGCAAACATTCTGCCTGTTTGCTTACACACTTTGCTTTATTAACACAATTAATATTATTGTTGTAGGGAGGTCCTTTTGAAAGAGTATCAAACCATTCATGATCAATGCTATAAGCAAATGGAAACCTAAAAAACGAAATTTTCAAAATATTTAAAAATTTCTTACATATTCGAATTAATCCCACTAGATCTAGGCTTAAGGCATTCCTTCAATTCCTTGTCGCCATTATCCACAGTAGCGTTAAACTCGAATTGACCATCCCACGAATCTGTCAGTAGATCAACAACGCATCCCGTTTCTTTGACTTTGTTGTAGTTCAGAGTGCTTTAACGAAAAAATTAGCTTAAACTGGAAGCATAAAGATAGCTTGAGGGAAAATGAGAGACCCATCCCCACCCCGCCTTATTACCCATATTCTTTCTCACGTTTTACTCTTAACCAGATAGTAAGACTTTTTTACTTACATGTCTCCATTCTTCTCGTCAAAAGCAACATTGCAAGAATTCGGGCCTTTGTACTTCTTGAGATCTTCGTTGCTTTTCACAATCCGTTTTGCTGTACCCATTATCTGGATTATATCCCCATTTAAAATGTGATGACCGTAGCCCACATAACTTATGTTGGAGACGACAAAAGTTGGCCAAACAGCCAACAGAACGAAGAGAATGACAGAGCCTCCAAGCATTTTGTGTAGATCACGCGAAGGATGTAGAGAAGGATGTTTTGGTGTTGGGATGTGAAATAAACTTGTTTTTGTGTTTTTATAGTCAACAAAACATATAAAAGCCGACAACATTCTAATCTCCAAAAACAATTGTTCTTCTAAAAATGCTTCGTGAAACTTTTCTTTCCGTTCTTCTGTTGGTTGTTTGGACATCGCTTAAATGTGCTACTATGGCTGAAGGGCCTACTATTGTTGGTTATGGTCGACATACTCTGGTTGGGAACAAAATAACTGAGTTTGGCAATGATAGCAGGATCGCAGAAGACAACGAAGACCTCAAAGATTACATTGGAACTGAGAATGCCTGTGATGTGAAATTTGATGAAAATGGGGATATGTAAGTTTTTGAAGGGCGGATTTTTAAGGGGAATTTTTGTTTGGCATCTAATGATTTTTAATCTTAAGTGTGATCAACTACAACAGTGTTCGAGAGACTGGATGTGTTGTGGATCTAATGCATCGATATCTTGATTTTGCGTTTGATTTCACAGCCACTCTGAGCAACGATGACAAGGAAATAAAAGAATGTCTTGTAGAAATGCCTGATGGAATTAATGCCAATCTGTAAGATCAACTTTTTGATTCAAAACCTTATATCCTTTCTAGGGTTCCCTTCGCCTATGGCATTGATTTGGAACGTTTTGAGAAACTCAAAAAAGGACCATACAATGAAAAGGTTTCTTGTGCTAACCAGGCTGCTTGCCGCAGTGGAGGTGGGGAGTGTTTGAAGCCTGAAGGGTTGGAGATTGGTTGGGGCTATAAAGGAGATAGAGTCCATGTGGGCATGCAACAGGGTGAGATTTTTGGAAAGAAGCTTTCTAATCAACCAAATTTGTTTTCTAGTTGGAGAGCCCATTTTGTGTGAATGCCCTCATAAAAACGACCGAATCAACCTTAAAGAGTCTTCAGTCGAAGTGCATGTTGATAATCGTATTAGCTGGTTTAGGTTGGATCCAGTAGAGACACATTGTTATGTTCATTTTGGCCTCTGTAGCTCACCTTTCATCTGTAATAGTGTCAAGATGGCACTGTTTGAAATTGAAGGATTAGGTCCAATGACTTGGGGGATCCGCTACAGAGCGGGCAAATATTCTTACTACAACCGTCTGCTTTCTTTGTATCTGCTGCCACAGAAAGCAGCTTTCCAACATCATGCAGGGAAAAATATTACAAGGAAAGCGCCAACTGGGCCTAAATGCAATATTCAACTTAGAATTGTAAGTTTAAAAAATCAACATTCAGACCTCTTTTGTAGAGACACTGGCTACTAGAACACCTCTATTTCGGAAACGTTTTCTAAAATTAGACACGTCTGTTTTGGCGGGGTTTCCTAAGCGATTACCTCTATCTAATGTACCCCGTGTTCAAAACCCTCAATAGATGCACCCAATACTGGATACACCTCTATTTAAGAAACGTTTCCTAAATTTAAGTGGGCCATTGACAGGGCGAACTTTAAGCAATGCCCTCTATCTATGATACGCTCATTATACGGTAAAATTAATACTCCAAGGGTGTAATTATAATTGTGGTCCGGCTTAAAATTAAAAAAAATTATTCCTAAATTTCAGAATGGTAACGAATACAAGCTTCTTATAAACGATAAACGCGATCTTAAATGGATTATCCTTGTTGCTATGATTCTGCTAATGTAAGGAGATTATTTTTTGAAATTCGGAAAAAATTCTCTTTTAATTTTAGCTTAATTTGTCTTGCTGGTATCGGTTTCGTCATCTATATGAATGCAAAAACGAAAGAAAACATGGATAGGATGAGACGAAATATGAACTGAAAATAGTGAAAAATATAAATAATATAGGGTGATAAATAAAACCTTTTACTTTGTATAGGTTGTTAAGATGGGAATAAAAGATATATCGAATGTAGATATTCCCTTTTTGGGGGTATCGCTTAGATATCTTCCCCTAGTTTACAAACAGATTTTAAAATTTAATATTGAGTCTATCTACAAGTTAGATCCGACCATGTTATGAATTTTAATATTTAAAAGTTCGCTTTGCCAAGAAAAAATTCTGAAACCCCTATTGACCTCACAAAAGCCCAAAAAGTCAATCTTCTTTCGATTGCTGATAGTCTTTATAAAAAATCTGAATTTTAGACCTCTTCAAACTAAAAATTTTTCAGAGCGGTAAAGACTCATCATCATCTTCTTTTGGGCGAAGAATTTTTAATGATGGGCGAAGAAGATGATAAAGTCATTGTTGATACTAAGATTGAAAAAGAAGAATCCGAATCAGATGGCTCACTCATAATTATTTTAGTGGTTGTTGGGATTATAATAGCTGTGTGGGTATTTTGAGATTTAAAAAAATTAAATTTTGAGTCATACTGAAGAATGGGAGTTCGTTTCTGTGGAGATTTTTTACGGACTTTTTCCGCAGAAATTTTTTTGCGGACTTATCTAACATTCCCAAAAAGCGTCACTTAGTTATAAAATAAAGTCAGATACGCTCTGTTAAGGCAATTAATCACCTATCTTTATGAATAATAAGACAACATAACGGTAGATATGCCGTGAACGTTGAGATGTTCACAAAGCACTGGCCGAGTCTGATAATTTTTTATACCCCCATAATTTTTTATACTCAAAATAATTAAGGGAGTCCTGCAGAACTCCCCGGCCCAAAAATTTTAACAGTTATGCACCGGAAATTGCTTTTGTTAAAAAAATAATGTTGAAATTAAATAAAAAATATAATTTTATATATTAAGCATTTCCCCTTAGAAATATTTTTGAAGAGATTTTTTCCGGACTTTCCTTCTAGAAAGTGTGTTAAATTTTTTTGGGGACAACTTTCGAGGACGGGGTCTCTTCACCTCTTGTTTTAATTATTTTTAAAAATTTTAGAAATTATTGAAATGATATACCGTTTTTTGTCCTGGCTGTCAGCTTCAGACTTCTGACGGTTTCCGAATCATTTTTAGACAGATGTGGGATTACCCTCACTCGTATAATTACCCTCCCTCGATTTATTACACCATACAGCGAAAGGTGAAAACTTTAAAAAATCTTAAACTTTTTAAAAATTTTATATCCGCGATCCTCGCATCCGCACGTGCGTATTCACAATTGTCGTACCGCCATCATAACTATAGATGCTATAAATATTTTGTAAATAAGGCCTATATTTTGTTCTCTATTTCCACCAGTCACTATGTCGAGCTTAATAATTTAAAAATATCTTTCAGCTTTTTTTCCATCCAAAACAATTAAGGGAGTCCTGCAGAACTCCCCGGCCCAAAAATTAACTAGACTAAACGGCTTTCATGTTTTCCGTAAAAAAATAATGTTTAAATTGAATAAAAAATATAATTTTATATATTAAGTATTTCCTCTTATAAAAAATTTTTTCTTTTTTTTTTTTGCAGAAATTTTTTTTAATTTTATCCACATAAAATGTCAGCATAAGTAACGCTTCTTCCCTCTCTTCTTCCCTAATTCATTATTTTCTACAAAATTTTCTCTCTCCAGGCTAGTATCAATTATCGGCCTTCTTGTCTGTACCTTTATTAACGACAACAATGGCAATGTTGGCGAGAAGAAGAGAACAATTTTATTCGAAATTTACCAAAAGAGCAACAACAAAACAACCAAACAAAAATTAAAATCTCCTCCCTCAAATAATTTCCCCTGCTACGCATGAGTTGAAACAATAATCCCCCTCCCCCAAATACCCTACTACACGTTCAAATTTCAAAACTCGAATAATTCCCCTCCTCTGAATAATTCCCCATGCCACGGATAGCTTGAAAAAATAATTCCTCAGGAAAATTAATCGAGTAAATACGGTATATGGTATAAGTTTTGTCATAATCGTTGACAATATTTAATGATAAAAAAATTAAAAAAACAATAATCATGCAAAGTATGATCCCTTATTATCCACTATCTTCTATTCCTTTTGATATTTCGTAAAAATATTCATAATTTTTTAAATATAGGAGGGATTGGATATCATAAGGAAAGGGACACCATTCTTCCACCTCCCTCAAAATTCTTTCCTTTTTTCACCCTCCCGGTTTTACATTTATCAGTTATTTTCCCGCTTAAACGTTTTATTTATTTTTTAATTTTATTCCAATCTTTTATGACTTATTAAAAATAATGTTTACATTGAATAAAAAATATAATTTTATATATTAAATATTTCCCCTTATAAATTTTTATTGCAGAAAAAATTTTTTTCTGCAAGTTTTATCCGCAAATAAAATTTAAGTAAAACTTTACTTTATTTACTTTAATAGACGGACATTGTTTTAATTTTAATTTTTAAATCTTTTTGGTTAATTTTTGTTTTTTTCTTCTATTCTCGACTTCACAGCAAGCAAGAATAATTATAATTATATTTTTTGAGCAGTCCTTTCAAATCAAAAAAAGAAAGAGAATTGTTTCAAGGTCCGTCGTCTAGTTTATATTTTTTCACGATTCGCTTGCTTGCCCTACTTTTTTTCTTTTAAATTAATCTTGGCATTTTCTCGAGCTCGTTTAAATGAATATATTTTTCCTTTTCTCTTGTCGACATTCAAGATTTTTTTGTTAGTAAAATTATTCAGTTAATCTTTGTTAAAATTTCAGAATTTTTTATTTTATTTATGTATGTATGTGCCTAAAGTCTGCAAGTTTTATCCGTAAAAAAGAGATAAATGAAAACAAAAATCCCAAAATCCTTCAAAAAAATTTTCGGGATTCGAAAATTATTTTACAAGATTCCCGAAACAAAATACGTCGGTAAGTCTCGATTTTCGAGAATCGGAAGGCACGTTTCCTCATACTTGATATCTTTTTAAATGTATGGATTTTTTGCGGATTTTTGGATTATTAATTGCATTTTTCGGCAAAATTTCACTTGACGTGCCCACTAGTGTTTCACCGGAACCGAAATTTTGACCGGAACCGGAACTAAAATAACGCCGGAAATTTCCTGAACCGGAACTTCCTTTGAAACTCTATTACCCTCACAATTACCTAATCATATACTCCTATAGAAGGAAATTATAACGAGAGTCGACTATATCTAAATAATAAAAATAAAAAATGGCAAGACGACGCTCTACAAGGAATACCAAAAAACCAAAAACAACAAAAATTACTCCTTCCAAAAAATTAAAAATAAATAAAAAATCTTCAAAAATGGTTTCACCAAAAGACAAATTAAAACCGAGACAATCTTCTCGAATGAATTTTGATGAGGAACATATAAGCCATTTAGAAAAAGCTTTTGAAATTTGTCATTATCCTGATGTTTATATGAGAGAAGGTGAGAGTGAGATAGAGAATTTGTTTTGAAAAACGGGGTACTTATTAATTACTAAAAACATCCGAAATGTATTTAGTATAGTCAAACCTCTCTATAAGGTACACAAAATACTAGGACACCTCTGTTTAGGATATGTTTTTTAAAATTTGGTTGGCCACTGGTCGGGGAAAATCTCTAAGGAAGATTCCTTTTTTAAGATCACCTAAATAAAATACTTCTTTATAACATAAACCCAAAATTAGATAGACCTCTATTTAATGAACACCTCATTATAAGATACAATTATCTCACCCCCAAGGGTGTGACTCAACCATATTTCAAATTCCAGTGGTTATCCATCTTTTTAGGAACTGTCTAGGGGATACCCTCTATTTAAGATACACCCCATTATAAGATACAAATTTAATAAAATTTTAATAACATTTTTTCAAGAGATAGCCCAGCGTATAAACATTGGAGCGGATCAGATAAGAGTAAATTTACTATAAATTTAATTTTAATAATTTTTTGTAAAGGTATGGTTCTCTAATAGACGAGCAAAACATAGGAAGGAATATTACAAGGTTAGGAAAATTAGAAAAAAAAACAAAAAATAAATTTTAAATAATCAGGAACTACAAAAAATTGAAGCATCCAAAATTGCCTCAACTGAAAAGGAAAAAAAGAATTTGAAGAAAGAAGGAAGAAAATTGAAGAAAAATTAGGAATGCCCCATTAAAGTGATTATAACAATTGCCCATTTTGCTTTTTCCCCAAAAAAGTTGGGGAAAAAGCTGGGTATATTTTTTACTTGTCCGCAAATAATTTTTTTTATCCGCATTCTCACTAAAATTATTTTTAATTTATTTTTAATTTTTGTAAAAATTTTCTTTTTCTAAAATGTGCTCTTCTCTCTCGACGGAAGGTGTTCTCTCGATATTTTCTCAATAATAATCAAGAATAATTATATTTTTGGTCACTCTTTTCAAAGCAAATAGGAAAGAGAGAGAATTGTTTTCGAGGTCTGTTGTGGTCCATTTTATTTACGATTCGTTTACTTGCCCTACTTTTTTGGCAATTTCTTGTGCTCTATATGAATAAATAATTTTTTTTCTATTCTCCTCTCGATAATTTTTTTTGCTGGCAAAAATATTCATTTGACCGCTGTTATAATTTCAGTGTTCGTTTCCTTATCCTCTAAAAGTCCGCAAGTTTTGTCCGCAAATATTGTCCGCAAATATTGTCCGCAAATATTGTCCGCAAATATTGTCCGCAAATATTGTCCGCAAATATTGTCCGCAATTAAACTATTTTTTTAATAAAAAAGCAGTGCTGTTCTTTCCCCAAAAATACATAAATGCCTCGACTACGCTCTAGAAGACAACAAAACCTATTCCCTCTAAAAAATTAAAAACAAATAAAAAAGCCTCGAAAATTGGATCACAAAAAGAATCAAAAATAAAATCAAGACAACGTAATACTCGAAAAAGTTTTTCTAAGGATCAGACTAGTTATTTAGAAAGGCAGTATTCAATCTGTCGTTATCCAGATATTTACATGAAGGAAGGTGAGACAGAGAGATTTTTTAAAAATATTTTTGAAAATTTTCTATCATCGTATTTCTTCTAATAGTGCGGTTCTCTCTATTAGACAGACCCGTTCTAATAAATCAACCCTCTAGAGGATGGTTTTTGAACCTCATTTTTAGATACCGCCAAAATTAAATAACCTTAATTTAAGATAAATTTTTTTAGTTTGGTTGACCATTAGAGGTCGGAAAAATGCAAAAAATCGAATTTAATTCGAAAAATTATTCGAGTTTACAAAAAATAAAGTAGCCGGGAATTATTTGATTGAATACCCAATTCATCAGAGTTCTATTGACGAAAGGATAAGGGAGCTGCTTAAGCGATACCTTCTATATAAGATAATGTGATAATGTAAGATGAGATTTTCAGCCAAATTATTTCAAAATTAAAACAATTTTAAAGAAATGTCCCGTCATTTAAATATAACAGTGGATCGGATTTCGGTAAACTTAAAAAAATTTTAATTTTTGACAATTTTAAAAGGTATGGTTCCGTAACAGACGAGTAAAGAGCAGAAAGAAATTTTCTAAGGTTCAAAAATAAATTTAAAATTAAAAGCAAAATTTTTTAAAATTAGGAACAGTTAATATACGAAAATCGTGTCCATGAAGCTAAAATGGCTTTAGGTATTTGAAAGAAAAAAAAGAGGAACAGAAGAAGAATTAATAATGCCTCATTAAGGTGATTAAATAATTGAGCAAGTTTACCCACTATTTTCTTTTGTTCCCCGAAGTCCGCAACTTTAAAGTCCGCAACTTTTTTGCAAAGTCCGCAAGTTTTTCTGCAACTCTTTTTAAAGTCAGCAACTTTTTATTTAGTCCGCAATTCTTTTCCCTTAAAGTCCGCAACCTTCTAAACTTATTTTCTTTTATTCCTTAAAATCCGCAACTTTTTATCCGCAAATTTTTTTGTCCGCATTTTTTTTTCTTTAAGTCCGCAACTTTTTATCGCAACTTTTTAAAGTCCGCAACCTTTGAAACCTATTTTCTTATATTCTCTAAAGTCCGCAACTTTTTATCCGCTTTCTCAAAATTAATTGTCTTTATGTTCAATTTATTTTTAAAATTTTTTTCAAAAAATTTTTTCTCTTTTTGTTTAAAAATGTGTTTTTTCTCGACCTCTACGCCTTCTCTCGACTATAATTAAATTTATGTATTTTGTCACAGTAAACTAAAATATTTATTATTTTTGGGAGATCCTTTCAAAGCAATAAAAAGAGGAAAAATAATTGTTTTCGAGGTCTGGCCTTCAACTTATTTATATTTTACGACCACCAACTTGCTCTACTTTTTCCTTTCTTTGCTGAAAATTTTTATTTTGGCAAAATTTTTCTTTTAAGCTTTATTTGAGTAAATATTCTGTCCTTTTGTCGAGAATTATTTAAAAAATAGTTATTTAATTTTCTATAAATTATTTAAAGTTTCCCCGTTGTAACCCTTGTTACCCTCCCCTTGCTGGTACATACTTTATTATAGGTCCACATAAGACGGAGTTTAGTTTGAGATTTTTCAGGATCCCCTCTCAAAATCCCAGAATTTTTAAATTTTATAAGATTGTCGGGATTAGTTAAAGTGGATCCAGTAGAATTTTTTAAATTGCTATTTTATCCGGATCCCTATCAGAAGGAAGGTGAGATTAATACAAAGGGATCTATCCCTTCAACCTTTTGCTTCCTCCCCTTCTATATCATTCAGAATTTTAATCAAAACTTTGCTTAAACTTCAAAACAGTTCATCTGTCATACCCCTAGGAAAAGTTATAACATGATTTGACAGATTTAAATAATCAAAACACAGAAATGGCACGAAGACGCTCTAAAAAGAACAGCAAAAAATTAATTAAAAAAATTATTCAATCTAAAAAATTAAAAACGAATAGAAAAGCTTCAGAAATGAGTTCACAAGAGGAAGAAACAAAATCAACAAAACGACGTACTCGAATGAATTTTAGTGAGGAACAGATTTGCTATTTGGAAGATTTTTTTGGAAATACTTGTCATTATCCGGATTCCTATCAAAAGGAAGGTGGGAGGATTTTAAAAACGAATACTGTATTCTTTTTAATAATGCGACCGGACGGTTTATTTTTCAACCATCCTCTAGTGTGTCGGTTTATTAGAAGGGGTCGGTCTAATAGAGAGAGTCGCACTATTTGAAAAATACGGTATATAAACTAGAGATCGGAGCGAAACGAAAACTCGAACAAAATCATGTTCATAGGTTCTTTTGAGATACCGATCACGACCCTCGTACGACACTCATATAGTCCGATCACTATTATAACCTATTTATTGATGATTTGGATGTGTTATAAATAAGTGCCAAAATATCCAATCCCAATCTGAATTAGTGTTCGTACGGTTCAATACTCCAGCAGTACTCCCGAGAGTATCGACTCGGTACTTTTTTTACTCACGGTATTGGTATTGAAAAAATCAATTTGCCGAACACTACATATTAGGGTTGTACCCCGAACGCTCGGGGGCGGGTATGTCGGGGTACGGGGTTTTCCAATTGTTTCGGGGCGGGGTTCGGGTCGGGGGAGCAAAATATGGCCGGGGTTCGGGTCGGGGTACGGGGGTTTATTGGAAAAATTTTTAGAGAAAAAAATGCTCAAAAATAATTAGAAATCGATAGATTTTCGTTTATTTATTCAAAAATTAAGTAGCATTTGAAGAAATTAGAGGGGATTTGAAGGAATTAAAGTGTATAACTTGGGATATAAGTGGATCTGGAGTGATTATGTGGGATTTTTAGGGCTTAAATGGTATATCTAGGGATACAAGGTGATCTGGAGTGATTTTTGTTGGTTCAAAAGATATTAGTGATTTATAAGGATATTTATGTATTGCGGATAAGGGTATTTAGACGGATATCAGTGTATTTAGACGGATTAATCCTTAAATCTCCCGCGAAATCCTTGTTAATTTTGTTAAATTCACGTAATCCTTTCAAATCCATTTTAATCTAAACTTTATATCCCTTTAAATCACTTTATAACTCCTTAATTCTTCGATATCCTACAAATCCCTTTATATCTCTGATTCCCGAAAACAGGACCTCAATAGTTTTCCAACTTTTATGGTTGAGAACTGGTGATACAGGAGGTTTGAAGGATTAAGGGTGGTTCAAGGGATATTAGTTAAAAATAAAATTAAACTCGTTAATAATTAATTAACTCGTTAATAAAATTACCTAACTCGTTAATAATTTGTTTTTGTAAAGAAATATAAAAACAACAGAGTTCTCCTTATATGGATCCGAACCCAATCCTATATTAATGAAATATCGGCTAAAATCAACGAGTAAGCCACTCAACCACAAGTCTCTTAATAAACAAGGAAAGAAAATTATGTTATTTCATTCATTTTTCTTTCAAAAATAATGAAAGCAAAGTAAAATGGGTGAAAATTTTTTAAATTTTCTTCATTAATTTCTCCAAAAAATGACATTTTTTAGGGGTATAAAACCCCGATAACCCCGAAACTTTTTGGGCCGGGGAACGGGGTTTTCACTTTTTTTCGGGGCGGGGTTCGGGTCGGGGAGAATCGTGAAAAAATCGTTCGGGAACGGGGTCGGGGTTCGGGGTACGGGGTCGGGGTACAACTCTACTACATATGTCCACAAAGCACTGCCCGAGTTTGATAATTTCTTTATACATCCAATTTTATTCAAAATAATTGAGGGAGTCCTGCAGAACTCCCCGGCCCAAAAATTAAATGTATATCACTTTGGCTGAATGATAATCTTTTGAAAAAAAAATTGTTTAAATTAAATAAGAAATATAATTTTATATATTAAGTATTCCCCCTTATAAAAATCTTCTTGTGGAAATTTTTTTCGGACTTTCTTCGTAGAAATTGTGTTAAATTTTTTTTGGGGAAAGGGACAGCTGTGAGGGACGGATGACAACCCTACTTAAAATGTCAGAATACATGGACGCTCGCTTTCATTAATCTCGTCCGATGATCGAGTAAAAATAGTTGCATAACCCGACTAGGTAAAAATAAAACTAGAAAATGATTCAGACGGCCCGTTTAAAAGAAAAATTACACGAAAGTCTGTCCAACGTCATAAGCAGCTAGATTTCCGAGTTCCGACTCTTTTTTCCTTCTGATTTCCGATTTCCAAAAATTTAGGCTGATTTCAGAAAGTTCCGATTTCACCTCTGGTCATAAGTAAAAATCGGGTTTTAGTGATAGCTGAGAGATCCTGTTCCTAATAGCCAAGATTTCTGATCCCTATTTTAAACAAGTTTAGCCATTTATCTAAAATTAAAATTAATTTTTAAGAAATTGCCCGCCGTTTAAATCTAACAATGGACCGGATTACGGTATTTTCACAATAAATTAATATTTTTTAAATTCTTTAAAGGTTTGGTTCCAGAATAGAAGATCAAAGTTTAGAAAGTATGTAAGGGCTAAAAATTCAAAATTTAAAAATTGGGGATTTAAATTGGATCTTAAATTTGATTCAGAAGGGAAGTAATGTACTGTATATATTAATCAGAAAAATTTTCAAATTTAATAATTTTTTATTACCTAAAGTCCGCAATTTTTTTATCCGCAAATCTTTTTTTTAATCTTCTCAAAAATAATTTTTTATTTATTTTATTTTTAAATTTTACAAAAAAATTTTTACAAAAAATTGCACATTATGGATATATTAGAGTCTTAAAATGGAAGAATTATTTTTCTAAAAGGGCACCTTTCTAAATCAGCCTTTACTTCAAGGATTTTCTCAGTTAAACTTCCCTTCTTAAATAGATCTAAAATATTCAACCCAGACTCTAATATCTTTTAAAATCACCGAGAATTGTTTAAATACACGAATATAGTCGAACCTTATAGTCGAACCTAAATACACGAATATAGTCGAACCTTATAAGACCCTCATTATAAGACACACTCAATACTAGAGACTGTCTACTTAGGAGACGTCTTTTAAAGTTTGGTTGGACTAGGACGTAAGGGTCAAAGGGGGTGGAAGGGCGCTCCCTCCAGTCTAAACGACACCCTTAAGGTATACCTCCACTAGGGTGGAAGGTTCTAAGAGGCGGAAGGGTATCCTCAGCCTAGGCGTTACCCCAAATTTAAGGTATACTTCGTTATAAGGGCACATTTCTTAGTCCCAGAGGGGAGTTTCTAAAAACGAGGTTTGACTGCATACAAAAATTCACAAAAATATTTAAATAAATCTTAATTTAGATCCAGTACTTTCTGCCCTTCTCCTTTCAATTTCCTCCTCATTTTTATTATTTTCTCCCTCTTCCCTTTCATTTAAATTTTCATCCAAATTAATTAAATTTGTGCCAGACAAAAAAGAAGTGGACATAAAATCAGAATAATCTTTTTCAAATTTTACTTCCTCATTTTCTTCTAATTTACAATTATTATTATTGTTATTATTATTTGCATGCCAATTAATTCCAGCATTCATAGAGTTGCTTTGTTTGGTTTTGCCGTTTATTCTGAAAATTAAAGGGAAATTGTGTATAAAAAATATAGTAAAATGAAATCAGAATTTTGAAAATAAATTCAGAATAAAAATCAGAATTTTCAATCTAAAATCAGAATTTTTAAAAATCAGAATTTCTAAAAAAATCAGAACACTCAGAAAAAAACCCAGAAAAGAATCAGAATAGTCATTTGAAAATCAGAACAAAAATCAGAATTTTCATATTAAAATCAGAATAAATACCAGAATTTCTAAATCAGAAAAAAATCAGAATAGAAAACAGACTGCCCACAAAAAATCAGAATTTCGATTTAAAATCAGAACAAAAATCAGAATTAAAAATCAGAATTTTCAATCAGAATCCTCCATCCAAAAAATCAGAATTATTCCCACCTTGGCCCTCTCACTGTCCCATTTTTACACCTCATGGGTAAATCACTCATTTGCAAATCTTCGTCAGTCTGTCCGGCTGGGATAAATGTACGTTCAGTTTCAAATTGTCGACGACTCTCCCTACTTCCCCCGGACAGAATAGCTCGAAGGAGGGGAACTTTGCTTATTTGGCGTTTTAATGCATTTTGAATTTCGGCGTTTAAAAAACAATATAACTGTAAAATTTAAATAAAAATTTAAAATAATCTACACAATATATAATAATTGAATTATTAATTTATTTAAATAATTTAAAGGAATATGAAGGAAAAACATACCACAGCGATGAAAATACCCTGAAAAAATTGTTGTGAGAATTTAAAAAATAAAATAATTGGGATTAAGTGAAAAGTTCAAAATGGAAAATTTTAAAATGGTAAATGTATAACGGATTACTGTATTTCTTCCAAACTAAAACTAGTTTTGATATACAAGAGCCTATGGGAGAGGCTCTTCTATGAAATTTGTTCCGGGCCATGTTTTAAAAGGAAAGAGGGCCACTAGAGTACCAGCCAGCTTTAAAACTTTTTTAACATTGGGCCGATCTATTTAGCCTTGAGTCAACTCGAGTGACCCCAAGTAGTGTTAAAGGATTATTTTAGGAAAATAGAGCTCATATTTTTATCAAAATTCCCTCCATTTTCCCACCTGAGAATGTTGTAAAATAGCAGAGCCTAGCATATAAAAGGCACTTGGTTGGGGAGGTTCGTAGAATAGTGGCACCTTTAATTGTAAAAATTGATTTGCTTTCTCAGTCTAAGCTTACATTTGAGACTCCAAGTAGAGGTACTAATAACATTGTGGCTTTAACCGTTCGCCATATTTGCCTAGACTCGGCTGAGCTTTCATGGCGAAGTTTGCGCACCAAAATGATTATAATAAGAAGCAATAGGAACACATTCAAGATTAATGCCATTCCCATAGTACCCGCCAAAATCCACAAATGAGGTCCTTTAGCATATGGCAACCAGCAAAATGAACGGCTCTCGGATTGTCTTTCGTGTATCGTTGCCCATGAGGCTACAACTAAGAAGGGAAGCACCCATCCAGTGAAAAGATATACAAAATAGGGAGCTTCTGATCTTCTCATTGCAAAAACTGTGAATCTAAGAAGAAAAGTTAATCATGTTTGTATTCAATTTTTATCAGTGCCAGACTCTAATGTCCCTTTCACACTCGCAAAGGAGGATTTGCATAGCACGGACACCCGACAGCCTCTCCTTTGTCAGGGTTAAAGAATCGTCTCTTATAACGAGGTGTATATTAAATAGAGGGTCTCGCTTTCATAACAAGACAAAAAGAGTATCGGTGCTTCTATTGGGAGGGGGAGGGGTATTTCAAAACAAGAAACAGAAGAGTCTTCAATACCTGCTGTATAAATAAACCCCTTCTATCAACATCCACATAACTGAAGCAACTTGAAAATAAATAAGACCAAAAAGTAGGGATTTGCATAGCCATTCCCATTGTCTCAACTTGAGAAATTTCAAAAAATTTTAATTTTTAAAAATTAAAATTACATGTAAAGGCGCAAATTGTGAACAATCTTGAAATGCATTTCGAGTATTTAAAAACGTCCAAAGGGCAAGTATGGCAAAACGGAGAACGAAGGCAGCTGCTAGATTCTGTTGAATAATTTTATGAGGAAAAATTTTTTTTTTTTCAAATTTTTCAAAAAAATTTTCTAGCTCAAAATAACAATTAAAAGTCCAAGTTTAAGACCTAGTAAGATTGCCCTAATCTGGCCTACTTATTTCCATTCTCTTTATTTAATTTTCTTTTCGAATCCTTTCGATCCAATCTGTGGCGTAATGGCAGTCTGCCGAGACTGCCATTTTTACCCTATGAGGGTTCGAATCCTTTCGACTCCCAAAATTTTTTACTTTGTATTTTTAATGATATTTTTCCAAACAAATTACTTTATGTATAGAGAGGCGTCGACATTGGACGGAATCAAAAGCAGAAAAAAGAACTAGAGCGGCAAGTAAAACACAAACGGAAACAACAGAAAGTGATAAAGAAACCTTTAAAAATTACAAAAAAAAATTTTTAAGAGATTGAGGATTCAATTAATTACCCTTATAACGGTGTCGCGTAAAAGGTTGGGACACTAAAAAAATTTTATTTTAAATTTGAATAAAATTCCTTTTAATATTCACCGTTCTGCAATAGCCAGCAACACATTGAGGATAAACTTTAAGCAGTTGAATACACTGTCCGTACATACTAAAGAATAGGAAAATTTTTTAAATTAATACTGGAAAGAATTTAAAACGCATTTTAGGCTAGGATTTAAGATTTACTAAAGAGGTGAAAGCAGTTTATAGTAGCTCAGCGGTAGAGCCAATCAAGACCGTAGGAGGTCGTAGGCATAAGTGGGTAGGAATTCCGATTTCCGAAATTTTTTTCCTTCCGATTTCCGAAAAAATTTGATTTCCGAGTTCCGACTTTTGAGCCAGTTCCGATTTCCGGCTCTTCCGATTTCCGACACCTCTGACTGTTCCGACCCAACTCTGGTCGTAGAATCGACGACTCCTTATGACTATAATTTACCTCATTACTAAAGAGGACAAATTTCAACAAAACAGTTTAATTTAAATTAGAGGACTTCGCCAAAATAATGTTTGGCGAAATGTTTTTTTAAATGACATTCGAGATTTTACTTTATTAATATTTTATATCTCAGTTTCTCTTCAAAAAAATTTTTCTTAAATCTCCCTCACCTATCTCCCCAAGTTCCATTCTCAAAACAATAACGGCTAGCTGTATATGTTTGCTCCATAAATTCACATTCAGGCAAAGATTTGCAAAATTGGAAGGGGCAAGGACGTTGGCCGATGGAGCCGAGAGAAACATTATACCAACAGAGACTTGAAATAATTTTTAGTGGGATAAAATGTCTTCTTTCTAAAAATTGTACCTTCTATCAAAGTCAGGTTCACACAAAGATGACTGTTGTTGAACCAAGTAGTTGAACTCGCTAATATAAAGGGAAAATTTAAAAAAATGAAAAGACGCCAAAAAAACAGAATGCCAAAAATATTTAAAAATGTCAAAGGGACAAAAATATTTCAAAATGTCTAAAAGACAAAATGCCAAAAAATATTTTTCTAAATAACAGAATGCCAAATTTTTTTTAAAATTGACAGAATGCCAGGAAAGGTGGCACGAATTTTCGTCAAAAAACTTTCCGTCAATGGACTTTCCGTCAACAGATTTTCGTCAATAAGTGGATGTTTTTTTTATTTTAAGAGAAATAGAAGATGATACATGTATGTAAAAGTGTTGTCAGATTGAAAATTAGACTTATTTGATAATTCTAAACAAAGTTATAAGCAATTGTGTTTCTACGAAGGATAGGCAGGCTTTTCAAGGCCGAAACTCGGCAAAAAGGAATAGGTTTATGTTACCGGTATAGAACCCAGCGACCGTTGACTTCCCGCGAGGCGCGTGCCGCAAAACCCCGCACGAAGCGCGAGGTTTTGCACAAGCGCCTTGCCGATGCCCCATAGGTTTATGTTGTTTGTTTTTTTATATAATTTAGTTATTTGTGGCTTTGAACAGGCCGATTAATTTTCTAAATTTCTTAAAAGCGTTCATTTCTTGATGAAAAGTCCGTTGATGTAAGATCCATTGACGAAAAGTATTGACGGAAAGTCCATTGACGGAAAGTCGGGGAGCCCCAGGAAATCTCAAGAAATGGCAAAATAAGACTTGCAATTAATCATTTTTCAAAAGAGTACCTTTCTCCACCCTCATCTGTCAATTCATTTTCTGCTGTATTTAGTGGAGTATTAAAAATATTGTAATTATTAAGTAAATCTTTAATTTTAAAACAAGTGGCACTCTCACTTAGAGTCATTTTTTAAATTAATTGAAGTGAGGTATATAACTAAAATATTTAATTTAATTAACAGTATGCCAACAAGTTAAAAATTGGCAAATAAATTGATTTTAAAAGTTGCGTATTTTCTAAAACAAATGCGGATTTTCTGCAAATTAAATTTGGATGATTACAGCAAAAAACCCTCTCTTTTTTAAATATCCCAATATTGATGCGCCTCTATTTAAGGAACGCTTTAAAGATTTAGTTGGCCATTGTGTGTGGAGGGGGGGGGAGAGTCAGTCAAAAGGTGTGCGGGAATATCGGGACGGACATATCGGGATTGGGGTGACAAAAATAATTTCTTGAGTGTTTACGTTTGTTCTAAACCATAAAACTCTATTCCTTAATAGGACAATATACTATCCAAGACTCAGTAGCCGGAGGTCCCGAAATCAGTAGGATCCGCGTGCCAGTTCAAGGGATAACATCCATTTAAAATGAGGCTGTATTAAAGAACCCCACGTTGTAATATACGATTTTTCAAGGTTAAAGAGGGTTTTAAAAATGAGGTTAAATGTGATCTTATTTTTTAAAATGAAATCATCAAATAAAAAAAAGGAACTAAAAAATTTTAATTTAAATAAAAAATTAGATCAAATTACGTTTTCTTTTTTGTTTTTAAATTTTGAAAAAAATATTTTTTTTTGTACTTTAGCCTATTTTTAAAAACAAATTTCTTCCCAAATTATTGGAATTTTTTTAAAAATAAATTTTCAAAAAAATGTAAATTGTGGGGAAAATAAAAGAAAGAAAATAAAAATGCAAAAAAAAAAAATTAGAGGACACTAATTTGTCAAAAAAGGGCGGAAACGTGTCTCTTTTTTTGAAAGATTTATATTCCATCGATAATTGAGGGAATAAATTTTTATTTTTAAATATTGGCAATTGCAGAAAAGAAAATTTTTTGGAGTATATTTTCTTTAATAGACACTCTCTTTTTTAAGCACACCCAATATTAGAACACCTCCATTTAATGGACGTTTTAAAAATCTGGGGCCATAAAATAAGAACTCTGTTGCTGGTTAGGTAACCACCAACCGGCGGTTTTAATTGGTAAAATAAGACGGTCGTAAGGTTAACTATGCCCTTGTGGTTGCCTAACGATGGTTAAGTGACCATGGTCAGGTGACATGAGGTGACCGAGTCGTGACCGGACAATCCGTCAGTGGACAATCCGGCAGTGGAAAATCCGTCAGTGGACAATCCGTCAGTGGTCGGACAATCCGTCAGTGGACAATCCGTCAGTGAACAAATCCGTAATTCTTACCTCTACCCGACCTACCGCGGCCAAAAATTTTCATTTTTTCGTGTGGAGATTATAAGAGATAGCGAAAATTTGGAGATTCTTGAGGAAATCGGCAAATTTGGCTGGATTAAAAGATCAGTGGATTTGGGAGATATCGTGGATTTCAAAGGATATCGTGGAACTAATGGAAATACAATAGATTTGGAGTATAATGGTGGTTATCGAGGAATTTGGGGATTAAGGGGATTTTGTGGATTAAGTGGGATATCAAAGGATATAGTCGGATTAAGAAGATTTGAAGGTTGAGGACTTCCCATAATCCCACGATATTCATCCAAATCCAATATAATCCTACACGTTAATTATGTAATCTAATCCATCCAAATCCCCGAATCCTTCTAAATCCATCAAAAAATCCAACGCGGTAGGTCGGGTAGAGGTAAGAATCACGAATTTGTACGCTCCCGGATTGTCCACTGACGGATTGTCCGACCACTGACGGATTGTCCACTGACGGATTTTCCACTGCCGGATTGTCCACTGACGGATTGTCCGACCACTGACGGATTGTCCACTGACGGATTTTCCACTGCCGGATTGTCCACTGACGGATTGTCCGGGAGCCGACCGAGTTGGGTGACTTCAGGTGAGTCACTGAAGTGACGTCAGGTGACCGAGTTCTTATTTTACGGCCCCAGAGGAGGGGAAGCTGTCCAAGCAACGCTTTTCATAGAAAAATACACCTCAATATATCAAGCAAATAAGCTCAAAATGGTCAGGGAGTTAGGGAAAATGGGGGGGGGGGAGTAATAAACCCTACTATTACCTAAGATTTTTACAAAAATAATTTTAAGTGAAATAAATTTTTAAAAAATTTAAAAAATAAATATATTTTTAAGAAATTGACGTAGTTTAAAAAAAAAAAAGAAAATTTTGAAGAAAAAATAATATTATTTTTAGTTGGCTTGAAAATAAACAATTATTGTGTTTATGGAGAAGGATCTTACACTCCTTTATGTTGTTTATTTTTTTAAAGTTTAAAAATAATTAAATTTAAAAAAAGTAAAACATTGAAATCTCGATATAACGACCCCCAATCTCTCGTAAATTTCCTTCAGAGGTAATCTTAAATCGGTCCCGAGGTATGTGTGTTTACCTTGCACTGACTCTTGAATCTACGTCACTATACTTCTAATGTCGATAATAATTTTAATCAAAAAGGACAAGTCTGAAAATATCGGAATTCCACTGTTTAGTTAAATAAGATTGCTAATTAAAGAGAGTCCAAAATTCTTTGGTATCAAATCAAAATCCTCTGATTTCTGAGTGGTCCGGTTCTTGAGGTATTGGACTTGATTATTAAAAAAGAACAGAAGGATTTTTTCAAATTTTAAAGTGTGGAGAGAGAGAAAAATCTAGCTGTTTTCAAGGGATTGATGAGTATTTCGGGATTTTGTTCGAAGATATTCAAGATATCGTATTTCCTCTGTTTGAATGTCACCTCCTAATAGAATGCCAAATGGGAGGCGATTGAAAAATACAATGCCACCCTCTATTTGAATGCCACCCTCTAATAGAATGGCATCTTTGAAGGTGAAAAAAATAGAATGCCATGGCATTCTAATAGAGGAAATAAGGCAATCACGTTTTTAGGACTTTAAGCCAACACTCTATTATTAAAGAATTACTTTAAAAAAAGAGGAATATAAAATTTTATTTCAATTTAAATGAGGTGAAATAAAAATAGAAATAAAAGGGTGGCAGGTGGAATAATTATTGGTTGGTTATTTAAAGCTAATTATTATTAAAATAAAAACTTTTTTTTAAAGGAAAATGTGTAAATGTGCAATAAAAATAATTAATTCAAAAAAAATTTTTCTTTCCAACTTTTTAAAAAAACTTTTTTTAATTTTCATAAATAGAAAGGGGAGGGAAAGGACCTTTTTTCCAAGTATTAAAAATTAATCTACTTAATATACATAAACATATACATAGCTAATTTATTTTCTTAAAGGAGAAGGATATCTGCGAAGATTTTTTAACAAGTAGGTTTAGGTTATGTAAAAGTTAAAGAAAAGTTTGGGCATCGAGTA